GTGTACAGAAAGCAGTTTTAGGCTTTGAATCATCGTCCAGAGGAAGCTGCCAGAATCCCGAAAGTAAATCTAGTGTGGAGAAGAATCGCGCTCCCGCCAAGGCGTCCAGCGATTCATCCATCCGTGGGAGCGGGTATGCGTCGGCCACCGAAATTTTATTAAGGCGCCAAAAATCCACGCAAAACCGCAACGAGCCGTCCTGCTTTTTAACCAGGACAATCGGCGCTCCCCAAGGGCTGGTGGAGGGAGAAATGATGTCGGCGGCTAACATGTCATCGACAGCTGATTTGACATGGTCCTTTTCGGCGGGACTCAACCGAAACGGATTTTGGCGAATTGGCGCGCTGTCACCCGTGTCAATATGGTGACGCAGCAGGTGAGTACAACCCAAATCGTATTTATTCCGACTGAAAACGTCGGAAAATTCCTTCAGTAGCGATCTAAGCTGTTGGCGCTCTGAATTGGACAGGTCCGTCGATCCCGCACAAAGCGCGTCGAGCCACCCTTCATCGCTGTCCGAATGCGGGTGCGTCCGGGAAACAGTGCCAACGTGGTTCGCGACAGGTTCCTCGCAGGGCACCGGCGTCGCGTGAGTGAGCACCGTCCCTTGAGGAACCACTACTGTCTGCGACCCCACATTGAGGACCGCGATGAAAGGGTCCCCGTCCCCTCTTACGACGGTCTGGGCCGGAATTAAATGAGGTCCATTAACCCCGGCCCTAGACGGTCCCAGCATAACACCCTGATCCCCAACGCCCTTAGCGAAGGGCCTACGAAGTTTCAGAGGCACTAACATTTGAGCTCCCGTCGGCACACGAACTGTTTTAACGACGAACGCCGGTACTGTTGCGAACGCCGTCCGAGCCGCAGCAGGGGAAGGCAGGAACGCCATGCGTCGCCCCGACGGAAGCTCAATGCATCCTTGGTCGATCAAAATACGAATCGGCATTTTGCCTAAGAAGTCTGTCCCCAGCAGGCACGGAACCGCCAGCGAGGAGGAAACAAAAATTGGCCCCGACAATTTGATGTCCCCGATAGAAATTTGCGCTCGAATCTGTCCCATGATGCCGAGAGAGCCCCCGTTAGCGGCATAGAATGGGACGTTAACCGGCAGTAAAGGACGGCTCTGTACAGGTAGAATATTGTAAATTAGCTCCGAAATGATTGTCGCCGATGCCCCCGTATCGACTAGGATGCGTACTTCTACCCCGTCAATGTGTCCGACCACGGGCGACGACCCCGACGACGCGGCCACCACGCGATGGGCTAACACGGACCACTGCTCGGGCTCGATTTGAGTCCCCGCAGTGATCCGTGTTGGCCCGTCGCAGCGCAACATCGGCCCCCCGTTCGTTGTGGTGCGAGAGTGTGCGACAGGTGAGTGCTTTGGCCAAACATGTGTGGTGCCGCGACTCGCCGGATCATGTTGCTGGAACTTGGGAGGAGGAGGGCCGGCGTCCCGTCGGGGCATCGTCCCGCGCTGTCGAGGAGAGCGGCACCCCGAGGCGACGTGGCCCCGGACGCCGCAGTTGAAACAACGCGGGAGCGCCGTCGGAGATGATGGACGGTCGAAGCGGCTCGACCCGTCCCGGCCCGACCGTGCTCCTGTCGCCTGTTGCCGTCGGTGGTCGACGGCGTAGAGCTCTTCCGTCGGAAGGGTGGCTGCAGCCACCGCACTCCCGGCCGATGCCCTGCTGGCTTTCCGCCGCAGTGACAGAAGGTTGGCGTGGAGGAGCCGCGCAGCCTGGAGAGAAGTCATCTCCGCGTCCTCCTGTGCGACGACAGCGATGTCGAGGTCGTCTGCCAGGAGGAGGATCTTTTCCGTGACCATCGCGTCCACGCCATCGTCGTCCATACGAGGAAAGGCCGTCTTCGCCATCGCCAGGAGGCTCGTCCGGTATGCCAGGGGCGACTCCTTTTCACCCCGCTTGCGATCGTAAAACTGCTGTCGGCATTCAGCTGAAGGTCCATAGACCCCGCCCAGCAGCTGTAGCGCCATCGGTAGCGTAGAACGCTTCTCCCTCGGCGCCGATGTGAGGGCGGCGAGCGCGTCGCCGTCGAGGAGCGCCGGCAGCGCGCAGAGAGCCTCATCGTCCGACCAGTTTGCCATTTCTTGGTGGGCGAGGAAGCGTCGCCGAAAGCCGCCCCAGTCTCCCTCCGCGCCGACAAACTCCTTAAGCGGGGGCAGTCTCTGGTGTAGCGCAGCGGTTGTTGTAGAACCCCGCAGGTTGTTGTCACCACGACTCGGTTGTGGTTCGGCGCGAACGGCCGATGGCATCGCCTGTCGCAGCTGCGATGACGCACCCTCCGCCGGTGATGACACGGCAGCTCCAGCGAGGCCGATGTCGGAGCCGATGTTCAAGCTGGCCACGCCCTGAGCAGCCGCCGCGTCGATGGCGGGAAATTCAAATCTCGACTCTTCTGAAATGGCGGGAAGGCGCCCCGGTCGTCGGCTCCCCTCGCCCCGTGGTGGACCACCAGCCCCCAATCGCGTGATGGTCTCCAGCGTGGCGGCAGCGGCATACAGCAGCTCCGCCAGCCTTTCGTGGGCCAGCCGTAGCGCGTCTGGCTGCGGCCCCTCTTCATTCCGATGCCCCGGTAAGAAGGCGTCAGGCCCCGGCTGCACCATGTCTTGTTGAGCCGTCTCGGGCTCGACGATCTCAGCAGTGTCTTCCTCCTGCGGTACTCTGGCCCGAGGCTGTATTGCGCGTTTCCATGTTCGTAGTACTTCTGACACCAGTTGAAGTACCGGTGAGGACGCTTGACACCGAGGTTGAGGCACACGTGTATTTATTTTACAAGTCGTCACGACAGGACAGCACTAGAGGGGGTATCGGCCCCCTCACCCGTATAACTGGGGATACACCACTAGCTATCCCTGACCTACCTCGAGTCCTCCACTAACGGGCTAGGGGAGGCTGTCTGGCCCGACACTGGTGAGTCGGGCTACGGTACCCGGAATCCCAGAGTGCTGACTCTGGTTCACGGGACCACGCCGCTGGCTCGGTCCTGCGCGGCCCTGACAAGGGCGGCGTCTCAGGGGAGTCCAGGGCTCTAGCTACCCGAGTCTTCAATCTTCCCTCCTTTGTTCTAATACTGAGCCCCGAGCTCTCTCTGTCATCCCCTTTTATACCGCCTCCAGGATCACAACCCCGGGCAGCCCTACCCCCAGGCTGCCCGATGCGGACGTCGTTGCGGGCACCCCCCCCCCCCCGCTTACTCCCGGAGCTCCGCCCACTGTGTTTGTTCGCCGTTTGATCTTATGTACAAACAGCCCCTCCATAACAGCCCTACACCAGTGCACCACCCGATGTCAGTGAACAGCCCCAGAAGGTGAAGCCACTGATATAATTCTGCATTAGGTTCAGCATGTCTTTTCATCTACACTTAATGTTCGGTGCATCCCATTCAACTTGATTTTTTTTTATTGCCATTACTGGAATAAGGTCAGTGTAAATACATTTTTTTTATCGTAGTTGTGCAATCATTGGTAACCGGGCTGAATCAACCCGCTACAATTAACAATCGGGTACATTCACGGGTCGCTGCCTGGATTCGCGCGCAGAGAGACATGATTGAGAGACATGATTGCATTAGTACCCTGAACCACCCAATCATCTGAACGGTTACGCTACAGAGTGCAACACATTTTACTTGTTGGCACATGGATTGACATTGCCACACGTTCCTGGCTCCAGATCCTCTCGGATGAGGGTACAGCACAGCTGTTGCAGTTGGGGGGGGGGGGCACCACGATGAGCCCCTGCGTTGAGATGTCATTTGTGGCCAGGTCTCTTTTGAATAAGAAGCTCATAGCTCAGTGGGCCTTACCTGGTAAAAAAAATATTTTTTTGTGATTTGCTTACCTTTTCAAAACTATCATGTTTTTGTATTTGTTGGTGGAACTTTCTGACCCACTCTAACCGGACATCTTGTGAAAAAGAGCTTTATAGCTCATCGGATTCCTCCAGTATAGATCAATATTCTCGTTATGATCTGATTCTGAAGTGTTTTTCCACGAAAGACAACCAACTCGGGTTAGCCAAGGGACATTGGGTCGTGCGGGGCCCACAACAGCGTCCGCCCTTGTGCGGGCCCTGTCGCCTCTCGTTGAATATATTGAAGTGATTCAAAACTGTCTTGGTACATACTGCGCCTGAAAAACATGTTGCATTTTATTGACCTTGCTCTCTTGAAAATGTTACCGAACACCAAATCAAACCTCTTTTTCAGTCACGTGTTTTTTTTCATTTATAACTCTTAGTAATGTGAAGTCTGATGTCAAGTTACTGCTGGAAGAATCTCCATGCAGTGTTGATCATTCGGTTAGTTGAACGTACTGTACAATGCTGTACTTCATGTTGGTCAGTGTGGGTTGGAGGTGCTCTTGATTGATTAAGATATTGTTTATTGCTGGAGTTAGCAGTGGCCAGGAGTCGAACTTAGGTTCACTGAGTTAAGAGCACAGATCGTGAGCCACTTCACCACTGTTCATCCCATATGACAACTCATGTAAAGCCTAAGATGATATATTTTTTTCTGACCAAGGGGTAAATAATGCTAAGTATGTGTTTCATAAAATATTATAATTGCTAATCTGCTACTGACAAAGAGGCATCCGTTCATATAGGCATATTCAGACTGTTACATATTGAAATAGTTGTAATACACCATTTATTTTAAAGCTTCCTTTAAACTGTACTCCTTCTGGCAAGTGGTACGTTTTAGGGGTTTCTGTATAAGCCGGGAAGTTGCAGTATCAATCACTCGTTGAAAGTCCTATTGGTTCTTTTTAAAGGGTCTAAAACCTGTACAGTCAGCTAAGCTTGGGTTTTTCCTCATTCATATATATTTATATATTTTTTCTTTTTGTTCGCTTCATACCAGTGGAGGTGCTCGAATGTTATTTACAAACTCGCGATTCAAATGTCATGCGTAAGTGACTCAGTCGACGCACATACCCGGAAGGATATGATTCGCATTTCCTACATTTTGTAGGTGTGGGCTTCTGGTAAGAGTAGGAGTGCTTGGAGCCTGATTACTAACTTTGTGCGTGACATTAGCTTCGTACAGCTACAGCATTTCACACATCGCGCAGTTATTCTAAAGGACAGTTTTAGCATTTGCTGCGGGCAGTGGTGGCATGCGATACGAATTCCGCCTTCAAGTTTAGCAGAATTGAAAAGCATGTGCTCCACATTCGAAGGAAACGTTTGGTTTTTAACCCAGTCTGCGAAGTGAAAAAGGTATCACTGTGTTAGATTTGCTTTTGATGAAAAGGAAGACTTGAAGAAAATTGTGGTAAGAATCATTTTTATCGCTTAAAAATTCTATTTTTAAGCTTTATGTTTGAAATCTCCTTGTGTGTTGACCGTAAACATTTGCGAAGAATATTAAAAATGCAATTAACACATTTGTAAATTAAAGCTGTGCACAGAATAATATTGCTTGTCTGTTCCAAGCCAACGTCTGTTAACATGTTTTACTGTTTTATTCCTGTGCAATGTTTGTTTATTTATCTAAAACCTCATTAAAAGGCTGGGTCATGAGTTTAATAAATAGCCCATATGGCCTCGTAGGAATAACATGGCTCTCCGGTCATATGTTCTTCATATTTAATTTTAATCTACTGCAATTGTTGATTTTTCAGCATTTGTATGCAGATTGGAAAACATCTTCGGAAATTATAGTTAGGGTGTTGTCCGTGTTATGCCGAAGAAACTTTTTTTTAGCATTTACATTTAGGTGTTCAAGTACTTCATCGTGACAACAATATAAGGCATTATAATTGTATACCAATCATACATGTACGTATGCACATGGCAAGCCTTTTGTCAGTCCACTGCTGGATGAGGTCCTCCCCACACTGTGCAGTTTGTGGGGGTTATTTGGCCATACTTCATGCTGATCATTGTGCGATAATGAAGGTGGGGAGCATAGTCAGGGGAGCATATAAGTGCAGTCCAACATTACATTTTACTGCACTCCCCTCTGTCAAGCTTGATGGTCACCCATCTGAGCACTGTCCAAGTTCAAGTCTGCTTAGGTTTGGAAATCTCACGAGATTGGACGCATTCGGGGTGACTGAGTCGTAGCCTTGTATCAATTACTTCACCAAAATGGATTTCTCAGTTGTTGTTTAAAAAAGCCCAATTTAAGAATCAAGATTGCCATGTGATTTGTAATCCTACAGCATGCATTGCTGTTGTTCTGTGCGAATACGATTGTATACAAATTCCCGGAAAACAAATATTTCACCATCATGTGTAAGCAGTTTTGGAAAGTAAAATGTGAAAGCGCAGTAATAATATTGAGTTATTTTCTTGACCACTGCTGTTGGTCACGGGGATTGTTTGACTATACATTACCGCACTGGTCATTGTTGGTTGAATGGAGGAGGCCCAACACTGGTTCAGATACCGTTTGACTCTGATGTTATCCGTAGCAAGAAGTCAAATTGAGGTTGGCAGGTCTTGTGCTCAGTAGCTTTTGTGCTCACCACTGCACCACTTCTCCACCCCTTTGGCAAGATACCATCACATGCCCATAATCGTGAATTATGGGGACGTGATAACAGCTTAACATGTTACGTCTGTGTTCAGAGATTGTTTAACATTCTCAGAAGTGAGGAGATACATTCTTGGGATTTCTTATCCGAATTCCTGAAATCATGAGGTGAGCAAGAATGAGTTAATGACCGCTTCTGGGTTTGTTTATTTTTGACTGATAGTGGTGGTGGGCAAGGCCACCAATCATTAGCATAACCCGAACTATGTATTGAAAAAATAAATACTTAAACCTCTTTGTCCAGAGACTTAATCGCATGTGTGGATTTTTTTATATATATTCTTTATTATAAATATATGACGGCTTATAAAATTCTTGGTTACTGAAAGAGCAGCCTCTGCAAGCAAATATGTAAAGAATCATTCCAATTAAATGGTTAAAATTAACAGAGACAGCTTTTCTAAAATAGCTTACAGACATACAAAAATATCTGTGTATTGTATCGTAGGTATATACCAAATAGTATACAAATGCAGTGCAGAAATAGTAACTAATTGGCACGTTTTGTTTACATTACAAACCTTCCTAATTGGCTGTATCGGGTTGTGGTGGATCAACGGCACATTTATATTTACGCGATTAAACCCCAAAAAAACTTTATTAAGAACAGCAATAATATGTTTAAATGGTGATTGTAAAAGTTTACCAGAGTTTAATATGAAAGGTCATGAAGCCGTGTAAAGAGAGTGTCACCACGCCCGACTGTGAAAGGGACGGTACACAAACCCTGGTGGTGACCTTGAGACCGTGGTGGAAGTTTCAGATTAATTTAAAAGGCGAGCCAAGTTATTGAAATATTCATGACGTTATCTTCAAATTGTACCATTCACTTGTGGGACATCAGCAATTAGGTGTCTTAAGCGGAGACTGGGCCCCATCATAGGATTGTGGAATTTTAATTGCTGTCACAGGGTACTGCCGACGAAGATAAATATACTAATTTGAGTGGGGAAAAGTTTGACTTTTAACGAGGTATGTCATGCGGGGTGACCGGGAATTGGTCGGTTGTATACTGACGATGCTACTACCCAGAAGTGTCCAGGGTTATTTTTTTCAAATAGCCTTTTTGTTAAAAACAAATTTACGTGGTTGAAAGGGGACAAATTGTTGAAAAAGAATGGACACCCTCCCACCCGCTCCCCCCTTTGTTCAGTAATATGAGCCATTCTTCAAACAAAACTCATCTTTCGCAATAGCTGGTCATGTTCGGAGGGCTTTTTGTGTGTATGGCAGGAGTTCAATCACTTCTGCATTCTCAATTTTACGCAACCTAAGTGAGCAGTGTATTATGGGAAAGTTTATAATATATGTTCTGAAATGCCTGTTGAAAAATCACGTGATACTTTTTTTTGTACAGTATTTTTATTGTACAAAAGTGTGGGAAATATCACACTCAGAAAGGTAAAGTGCAGCCCTGCCATTGCTTGGCCACGCCACTACTGGTGATGGGGCCGCCACGAGAGGGAGCTCTAGAGAGCCCCTCGAGAGGGCTGTGTGGGTGACCAGAGGCAGGATTAACCACACTTTACCCCACCGCGCGCGACCTCCAAATCGACGAACTTTTACCAAACAGACACTGTAACAAAACTATATTTTTTATCTCTTCATTTCGGCACTTTATGGGTTTACCATCTTTAGTAAACATAAATCCCGAAGTTTCTGCATGCAGACAATATTTGCTGACAACAAATTTTAATTGATTATTGCATGGACATAATCGATCTTTGACCAAAGGAATGCGTGAATTTCTCTACTGCTCTACTGAGCCAAACGCATCGCCTTGGCAATTAGTCCCTCTGTTAGTGATACATTAGAGTTACTAATGCCTTATTTATTCTGCAAAATTTGTAATACATGTTTATGGCACATCTAGGCATGACAGTGTGGCCTACACAATCAAAAAGCCAAGGGTTGTTCTTATTGTAGGCACTATATCCGTGTTTATTCCCACGCCAACTTTGAAAAGGAATAAGATACGTTCTCTATTTACTTTTAAGGCAGCAGGTTTGTCATTGAGGTCATGGTGTGTCACGGAAAACTTGAATTTAAATAAAATCTAAAGGGACATTTTGAAAATGGCCCTTGAAATACGTTAGACTAGGCTTCTTCAGATTTTGACTGGCGTCTATACCGGCCATGAAAACCATGAGCATTTAACTCATGGAGATGCACAGAGAGACGCTCGGAGATATACAGAAAGTGACACGGAGATACAGAATGGGTCATGGGCTGACTCGCACAGACACAGAGATATACAGAGACGCGGAGGTACACACGGAAATACAGAGAAGCAGGCACACAGAAAAAGACACACGAAGGAAGCGTCACATTATCTTTTTTTAAAAATCAGAAATGCTTTACATATGTCAGGATGTGGGGGGTCACTGCCGCATCTTATTCTCTGATCTTTCCGAGAGTATCGTTTTTACCCCCCACACATCGGCCACGAATATCGCTAAATGCGATTGAAATAAAAGTGGAGCATTAGTCACGGTTACAAATGCGAGCTGTTTAAAGGTGAACCCAACCAGCAGGTGCCCACCCCAATGACACACCCTCCCCTGCGGAACCCCTGACATACCTGTGACACAAGTGGAAACAGAAACAATCATGACACAGCAGCGGTGGATATTATAATAAATAACTATTTATAGAGCGCGCATATTTCGTGAAATGGACACAGTTTTCGATCGAGAACGAAGAAACGTGGAACTTAAAGTCACTCTTAAGTTAGCCTGAACAAGCAATAGCCTGAACAGGTGAGCCTTGGGCTGCCCCTTGAAGGTGGACAATGGTGCCTGGATGCTGAGTATGTGCAGTGGGAGAGACTTCCAGATGGCTAAGGCAGGACAGCCGTGGTTCTGAGTACGATGACTAAGTTGCTCAATGTACTCTGCAGGACGTGGCAGTTTCTCGTGGTCAGTGGAGCGAGAGAAGGTTGGGGAGGTATGGCGGGAGACCTTGATAGAGAGAGCTGGCACACGATAGCGATGTTCCACCGTGTCCTTGATTTGATGGTAGAGGCAAGTGGAAGTTTTTTTTAGTGAAGCCACAGACGCCGTACGGCCATGCCTCATGTCCAGGACAGGTTGTTGTTAAAGTCGCTGTGTGGTTTGTCGAGGCGTTTTACTTCAGTCCGTGTAAGGATGGCTTTGCAATTAATCAAGGCGAGTGCCAGCAATGCTGCGAGCCAGAGTGTTTGCTGCGGCAGTCGTCAACATTGGGTGGATGTGGCATAAGGCCCTGTGGAGACGGTGATTGCCACATCCGTATTATGCTGAGCACGTGGTTGTCGAGTGAGAATGTGGAATCCAAGGTGATGCTGAGGATTTTCAAATGACTTGAGGGACTGAAGGTGGAGCCAGTGGTGAGTAGGTTTTGAAGGAGCGACGTCATAGTAAGCCGCTCCCTGGTGCGTAGGAAAAAAGCTATAGATTTTTCGGGGTTCATCTTATCTTCATTTATATATCACCTTAACCAAGGCACTGAATAGAGAATTAGCAATTTTACATTGAAACGGTGTGATGAGATGAGATGATGAATATGATGATCATGGGTGAAATAAACGATGATGAGCGCAATAATGAGTGGTTGATGTTGAGTGAGTGTGATGAATGGGTAGGAAAGTTGGGAAGAGGGATGATGGTGTTCATGCTGGGAAAGGGAGGGGGAAGGGGAGGTTGGATTAGCAAGGGTTAAATAAGTGAGTTTTAGGGAAGAATGAAAAATAGTTAATGACACTGATTGTTTGACATGTATAAGGTAATTTTACCACCAGGACTGTCAGGTAGATGTACAATTGGCAGGGCTGAGTGGGCCTTGATCGCAGGTTAGAGTAAAGTATAACTGAGTGTCATCAGTACAAGTATTATCGTGACTCTACATGACGTCTGGGGATTTGCCTGCAGGGAATAAAACTGTAACTTTGTGCATATCTTCTGGACTGTGTCAAATTAACTTTATTCTGTTTTGTGTTTTTTTTTTCAAGATGGCTAAACGGTGTGATCCCATCAAAGATAAATGCCCAAAAGGTACAGTATTATTACGTGTACTTTGTGAATTGAAATGTCTTTTGATGTATATTTAGTGGTGGGAAGTAATTGGTTATGCAGTATGTGGTGTTGTATTCAAATTACCAAAGGCAATAACTGCAATTCTGAAATATCGCCTATTATATATTTCTCTTTGTATGCCACGATGGAATTGATGGACGTGTTGAGTTTGTTTTCGTCTATTGTGCTTGTGCACCACTGCCAATGCAGCAGCATTACCAAATCATTTAGTAGATATAGATAACAAAAAATTGAGTAAATAAAACGTTCTTCATAAGTTTTAACCGAAAGCTGAATATTGGCACATGTGTACCCAAGGTTAATTGGAATGCATTGAGCTATTGCATTTTGACCGTATATTAAATAATAAAGAAATATAGAATCAATGAATTTCAGAAAACCCAAAGAGAGTCATGTGAATGTAAATTGTTTTTTCATCTTATAACGAACGGCTTCAACGGCTATCCATGAAGGTTAAAACGCGCACGGCGGGGCCTAGAACACCAGAACTTTGAGGTAACTCAGAGAGACAAGAAGACACACGCTTATGTCAGGTTGTGACAATCATGCTGAAGGAAAACACAGATGGACTTTGGCACATCATGGTGGTTGGGAGAGAGAGAGTCATAGTAATACAAGTCATATATTTGGGGTGGGCGGCAGGGAGGAGTTATCCAGAAAAGCCTTAGCAAGCCTCCAGGGACTTTTTGAGGAAAGATCTGCTTTGAGACATTTGGCCCTTTTCTCTCTGTATTTTTGCCAGTGGGGTAAAAAACCCTGCAGTGCTGGACATACTCAAATTGCACACAAGATACCGGTGGTCATAAAGCGACTTGCTGTGCTGTGTCCTGAAGGGACCTCAATGTCCAGCAGGGGGGATGGTGTCTCAAGAACCCCACGACTCATCTCCAAATGATCGATCGACCTGTCCTTCAATTCACTGCATCGCAAAGTGTGCAAGGCCATACAAAATGGTATTAATAGGCACTTGACAATGCATTAAGTCATTGATTATCATAGATTCTGGCAACATTACACGAAATATTTACAACCTGAAGTGAGCTGGAGAAAGCCACCGTCTATCGGGTATTTGGCCTACTCTTCAACACTGCCCAGAGGTCTTGGACCACACGCGGCTAACCAATCGACGAACTGTGCTTGTGCTCATTTGCACTGCTGGGTAGGACGGAGGAGGGAGGGAATTTAAGCTGTACCATTGTTTCATCTGATTATGCCGGGAGATCAATTTTAACGGGTGACCTCCGGTTTGCTAGTCCGGTGTGGTGACCATTCCACCATGGTAATATTCACACGATTGCTATTACACGCAAAACATAGTATTGTATTCGTAAGCAATGCATCTGCTGTAATGTAAAGAAATAAGGCTCTACTGTGGTGCCATTGTCTATTTTTACTCGGAGTAAATGACTGACCTTGTTAAAAAAACATATTCCCCAACACTCTGGACAATCACCTAATTGGCACACAGTCACTCACTGGTGTGTCACACAGGGGATTATTGTTTTTAGTCATTTGGAGTTCTCCATTGTCGATGGCAGCCACGGTACTGTGCTATACTTCACACAGAATTCCGAGCCAAGCGTTTAGCCACTGAGAATATTACGAGGTTCTGTTAATTTTGCTGACGTTAAAGAGGAAGTCAAACTTCGCGTGAGTAATGCGGTATCTAAATCATTTTCAGATTAACAAAGGACCATCATATTGTATGGAACATACTCGCTACTCTCCTCATTCACAGTTTAATCGTCTGGTAAATTGTAAAAAATAAAAAAATAAATCACCTTTATTAATGATGCACGAGCACAGCAAAAAGCACAGTGAGTAAAACATTCAAACTAAGCAGAATTAGCACTCTAAACCAATATATAATTATCCAGGCATGTTCTCGAGTTCAGCCTTATTTTGGGTTCTTTGTGAAAAAGAGCTTCATAGCTCATCGAATTCCTCCAGGATAAATAAAGATTCTATTTTTTTAATCATTGGTTTGAACCATGTCTATTAAATAGCCATCGTCTAGGACACAAACGTTTATCATATGAATATAACTTAAAGTATTTTTCGATGTAAAGCTTTCGTGACTACAGGGATTCATATTCTTGGTTCTTTCGGTAAAGTCACGTAGAAGGGAAATAATAAAATAATAATTTTCTATTTTTTTTATTGTTACATAATAAGAAAAATGTATTATTTTTATTATTTTATTATTTCCCTTCTACGTGACTTTACCGAAAGAACCAATAATATAACTTAAACTACTTTAGCACACCACTGAATAAATAACAAGCATATAATCAGTTTTATATGACTGTCAAAGTTAATCTATCAAACATAAGCACTGGTTGAATAACAAGCACAGGCATTTATATCTGAGCAGAACTCCATCGACCTATTGGCTCTCCAGACAAATATTATCCAGAAGCAAACTCTGGAGCAGTCTAAACCTCATTAACAGTATCAGCAGCAGAGTCAGGCTTGTTAAATATATATTGCTGGTGTATCAGATGTCATTGGCAAGACGACTCGATTTATGGTGAGAATGATAAGATGTTAATATCTCGATGTCGAGATGTCAACTACCTTGCCTGATATACACGAGGTCATGGGTTCGATTCCAATACTGACGCCTGTATATTTGGAGTTTGGATGTTCTCCCCGTGGTCGCATGGATTTTTTTGCAGGTCCTCTGGGTTTTCCCTCCACATTTATAAACATGTGTTTCAAGTATTTGGCTGCTATAAATTTCCACATGATTAGCCACTTCATTGGGCTATCATTTGTGGCCAGGTCTCTTCTGAAAAGGACCTATATAGCTAAGTGGGCCTTACCTGGTAAAATAAAAATAGTAACGTCAATAAAAGTGTCGATATTCAATTAAAAAAACTACTTACGTAATGAAACTATAATGATTAGCTTAGCTTAAATGGCCATGACAAAATATGCTCTATATCAGGGGTTGGGAACCTTTTTGACTGGGAGAGCCATAAAAGCCAAATATTTCTAAATATATTTCATTGAGAGCCATATAGTATTTTTAACGTATAATAAATTAAATGTCTTACTTTTAATGCGACTTCTGGTCACGGGACCCGTGACCCGAGAAATGTTATCTTCAAAACTAATTTCTGTTTACTTTAAATTGACACAGTATTATTAAGCAATATCACAAGTATTTTAAAATCAGTTCCAAACTGATTTTATTTTTTTATTATTTTTGTTTTTCAACTCAAAATTGTCTGGGAGCCATATGCCGTCACCGGAAGAGCCATATATGGCTCGCGAGCCATAGGTTCCCGACCGCTGCTCTATATCCATCTAGTTACCAATAGTACCTAGTAGAGCACTATAAAAGACTTAGTGCATTCCATACAGTTGGCCAGACAGAAATTGCCCTGACCCCAATCATAAATACTGTGAGTGAGTAGGAGGGACAGTTAAGGGGTGAACTCATCTGGGAGGTAAACATGTCAAGTTGCATGGGTTGAGAAGGATGGCAAGATACGTGGGGAAATTCACTTCGAGTAACTTGAAAGGTAGCGCTAAAGAATGTACCAATAATGGATGGGGTGGTTTTTCATTCGCGGGCTTGCCTGTCTTACCATATGGGGGTGTTCTGATTTTTAGCACTCAGTACAATGTTTAATGGAACATAAAGGTTAATTTGGCTAATTGAATTTGGTAATATATATACTGGATAATAAGAACATCACAAATCAACACACTTAACTAATTTAGAATTTTAATTCTACCGCAGTATTATTACAGGAAGATATTAAATTAGGATGATGTTAAACTGTCTTGTGATATCATGAGAAGGCATAAACACATTACTACATTGGAAGATTGTACAACAGCACTGATTCAGTAGTCATGAGTCGGCGATGGTTAAATCAGCCTCTCATTTATCCAAGTGTGATAGAGTGAAGATCAACATGTGGAGTGACTTGTTCTCCCCCGACATAGGATCGTAAATTCTACAGAATTGGCTCAGGACTGCCTAGGAAGAACACTGACATAAAAGAATGCTTTTTCAAGGCAACGTGTGAAATATTGTAATACAAATACCCTCATTCTATGCAGAGAATGTCAGTCAGTGTGTGGCACTGTGCAGAGGTGTGGACTCGAGTCATGTGACTTGGACTCGAGTCAGACTCGAGTCATGAATTTGATGACTTCAGACTCGACTTGGACTTGCATAACAATGACTTTGTCCCACCTCTGAGGTGTGGACTCGAGTCATGTGACTTGGACTCGAGTCAGACTCGAGTCATGAATTTGATGACTTCAGACTCGACTTGGACTTGCATAACAATGACTTTGTCCCACCTCTGAGGTGTGGACTCGAGTCATGTGACTTGGACTCGAGTCAGACTCGAGTCATGAATTTGATGACTTCAGACTCGACTTGGACTTGCATAACAATGACTTTGTCCTACCTCTGAGGTGTGGACTCGAGTCATGTGACTTGGACTCGAGTCAGACTCGAGTCATGAATTTGATGACTTCAGACTCGACTTGGACTTGCATAACAATGACTTTGTCCCACCTCTGAGGTGTGGACTCGAGTCATGTGACTTGGACTCGAGTCAGACTCGAGTCATGAATTTGATGACTTCAGACTCGACTTGGACTTGCATAACAATGACTTTGTCCCACCTCTGAGGTGTGGACTCGAGTCATGTGACTTGGACTCGAGTCAGACTCGAGTCATGAATTTGATGACTTCAGACTCGACTTGGACTTGCATAACAATGACTTTGTCCCACCTCTGGCACTGTGACTAACAAAGGTAGGAGGCTAGTCATTTTTTTCCCAAACACTCTGTCTAGACGCCGCCCTCATATTTTGGTTATCGCGGTGTGTGCAGTTTAGTCCTTTGGTGTGTGTTTTGGGGACTGTTGAAGAAACTCTGCAGCACAACCCAGAAAGACAACACGGATCTGCGAGTGATCCTGTTCTGAACACATGAATGTGCATATGGCTCAGTCTGCTGTCACAGAGCTACTCTGTGCAATAATAATAATACATTTATCAGTATTGGCTTTTGGAAAAGCTCGCCTACTCTGTACCTGATATCATCATAATGTGTTGCAGTGGAGTGAGTAAAGTTACACTTTATATGAAGGTTTATCTCGAAGACATGTATACATTTTCAGTTTGAACTTCTGGGTTTCATCGTGGTTGGCACACTGTCATCCTGATAATGTCATCAGGTCCTGCTGAAATATGCATCTTTTTATAGATGAGACATCAAACACACTGCAGCATTACTCAGCATGTGCCCATGTCATTGAAGACATTTACAACAACAATAAAATCACCTATTTTGACTAAATAATGGATTATAAAAACACCAATGCAGGGTTGAAAAGTCATGTAAAATATAGCATGTAAAATTAGAGTTGCTCTCTGCAAGATACAATTTGAAATGACTCAAGAAACATGATATGTATTTGTGTGCTATTAAAGCCTCGTAAATTATGGTGTACTTATGGTAATTAAAGTGCACTAAACATTTGTATTACAATTACTTACAGTATAATAACTACTTGGATTTGTTCAGAAATTAACCACTTTAATAGGGGCATAATTTTCAAACGATCGAAGGCGTTTTAGCTTGACGCATTGCAATGTGATCCATGATCGCGTATAGAGGGGTGATGACATTGCATTAAGTGGAGTATTGTACTCGTATTAAGAAACATTCATAAAAATCAGCTGAAACATTCAGATAGATCCACAATAACATCAAAATCAATGGAAAACAAAATTGCATTGGCCGAATGTTTGGCATATTTAGATGCCCCATCTTTATACGCTGACAATATATACAGCTTTTAGTGTTGCCAAATGGTATTGACCAAACATCCCAATGTAGTACTTTTTGCAAAAAGAAAAGAGACTCGATGAGGCTATCATGGGTAAATAGTTGGAATCGTATATTTGTTATGCGTATATTATGGGTAGCTTTACAGGATAAATGATTGTATGACTTTAAAATGTGCCTGTATTTTATAAATATCATGCAAATAATGCCCCACATTGAGGGGGCCAGGTGGATCAGAGGTCAGACCACTGATCTGGTTCCGGTTAAAAGCTGGGTTCGAAGCCAGGAAGCTGTCTGCGATTAAACCGCATTCTCAAGTGTCGTGAGTTGATTGGTCTCAGGCACCAATTATTGCACACACAAAAAATACCCACCACGTGACATGTTGTTCTCCACTTCATTTGGCAAAATTCTGGCCCTAAGAATGTAAACTGTTTGCTTGAATTGTGATGTGACAAAGTTAAAGAGCCAACTGGGAAAGTGCTGCATCCCCACTATGTGTACCGTGGGTCACTTTAAGGGATTTCAGAGGTAGCTCTGTCATGTCCACTTTTGCGGGCCGTTTGCTGTCACAAACGGTTATATCACTCCGTGAGAGATCCACATTGATCAGTTGTCTCCTGAAGATGCTGCTGGCATAATCGGGATAAAGTTAAGAAAAATACAAAAACATTTATGAAAAACACTGACAAATAAAGAATTGCATGTTTTACAAAATGTACGTCAACTGGTTCGGGGGCTATTTGTGCCAGCAGTTTCTGGGTATATGCCGATCTGTATCAAGGTACACGTCAAGGAAATGCCACTTGGTTTGGTTGTATTCCACAGACATGCAAATGTGCACAAACAAGCCTAGGGTCAAACATTCTGTCCATGTTTTTGTTTCTTCTTCATGAAAACACCAGTGTGTCCTGTCTACCCACAGCCAGGCATTGACATATCATACAATTACAGCCAGATTTATTTTTTACCCTTTATGACAAAAAGAAACATTTTGCAATGTCCACACTCATATTTTTTTTCAAACCCTGCTTGGGATTCACTTTCAGTAGTGTCCTTCACTCACAGGCAAATACCATTACAAGAGGGGAGGTTTGTGTTAATTTGTGTCGCTCGAATAAGTTTTGACTCAATTGTGCATCTGAAGGTATCAAAACTGCTGTGAGTGGTGGAGCTCAGGGGCAGAAGTGCATCAAATTATGAACTATACATAATCCGCCTTGGTGTAATGTTTAGTAAAATCGACTTGCAATCCAGAGGTCACCATTTCCAACTCCTGGCTCGCCATTGGAACCATTCAAATTCCCCTGTCGCTGTCCACCCAAACATATAAATGGGTACACCAGAATGAATCTAAGACTGGTTGCGTGTGTGGTGGGATAAAGTGTGGATACTCTCACCTCTTCCAAGATGTCTGGCTCTCGTGGAAGTGTCGGCTACATTTCTCTCTGGAGCAGCCCTTTAAAGCTCCCTCTGGTTGATTCCCTTCCGTCAGTAGGTGGGGTGAGAAATACATTTTAGGGCTGCACCTTTACCTTTTATAAACAATACAATGAATACATGCTGAAATCTAGAATGTTTACATTGGAATTTGTCTCGCCATTAAACTAATAACATATAAACATCTAATTATCTGTCAATGTGTTTTGACATGTGTTTTCTTTTTCGCCCAGGCTATGTTTTACAAAGTCGCTGCACGACCACCTCAAACGTCAAGTGCTTACCTTGTCCACCAAACCACTATCTACCATACGAGAATTCAGAGACGAGTTGCTGGCTCTGCAGTACGTGCAACACTGGTGAGCGTGCTTTGTGGCTACACTCAATTGCTTCAATCTCTCGTGCTCACACTCACACATTCATATGTTGGTAACTCTTATTGTAATGTTAGCATGCCACGTTCGTCTAAAGGACATAATACAACTATTAAACTGCTTTACTGCAGAATTAAGGGTTGGGTGGTTCTCATCTCGTCTTTATGCCGAAGAGCAAGTGGTGGAAATTCCACATTCCTATGGCGGGCAGTGAGCCTTTCCATAGGACAACAACTAATGTGGTACTCATTTTATAGACCCCAGATGGATGAAGGGTTGTCGAAAATTTGCAATGATATGAATCCGTATTTTTCTGAATGCAAGACACCAATCTATCACTGCACCACGCACCGCCCAGCTCGCCCATTATACAAATTAAGTTGGAAATTACAGGCCCGTTTATAAGAGGGAATGTCTGTTTCATTGCACAGGCTAAATTAAAGAATTCAAACCAGCATAGCCACTTGTGAATACAATTCATTCTCACATGCAACATTGAGCCTATCCTTCAAAAAAAATCACAGTAATTTTGTCATTCCCTATATTCTGTGTATTTTGTTGTGATGATGGGCTGTGTCCACTATTAAAAGAGCAGGAATGAGCACCGTGTGGCTGTGGGTAAGATAAACACATTTAAAATTTGTTCTGTGGCTTCATCATCCACGGTGATTCCTAGAGGCGATGTGTGGCTCTGCTGAGTTAAGGCTCAGAAGGAATGTTTTTATTCACTTCGTGACTTAACTCCTTTCGCACAATACAGACGCAAATGTGTTAAATACAAATGCATATTAATAAAAGCCTATGTTAGTGTTAATAATATTAAATCAGCACCTTTCAGATTCAGGATTTATTTTATAATTTTAAGTGAAATGGTTGTTTACCATAAAGTCACGTTGTATAATACATAAATTACACCATTTATTTATATGTATGCCATTAAAAATACAATAAGGTTGCAAATGGAAAACTGTACGAATGAAATCAATTTTGCTCGACAATATGTTACCTGCAGTTAAATGGAAAATTATCCCATTGAATGGTTTTCATTATTTATCACAGGCATGTTTACTTTTCATAACACGTACATAAAACAACGCCAAATGAAGTGTAGTAATTACTAGCTGTTGAATACAATGATGATCATTAACGTTCGTGCACACACTATCACGTGACCGCAGATCACAGTGTATTGCATTAATTACAAGTGCTGCTCGGTGCCCCAAAATGGAATTGCTCCACGTTGACAGCTGCACAAGTCTACTAAACCAACACGCTCAATATCTCATGCCCGCAGAGTCTTACGCACACACACTGGAGTGAAAATCAAATTTGAATGTAAATGTGGTGCACAGTTAGGATCGCTTACCAACCGCGTGAATGCAAATGGAATTTAAATCATTAGAAAAATTGCCACGTCGAGACACATTTCTTATTACACCAATGTCGATAACCACGTGTGAATAGAAATCTGCGTTATGACACAATCTGAGCGCAAGGCTCCCGCAAAGCCCAGCCCCCCACAAGGGGCCACTGGCAATGAGAGTGGTTCCCAGAAATGCTGGGTCTTCGGAGGAGATAAATAGCAGAGCCAAATGTATTGTTTCTCACTCTTAAAATCACGGTATGTAATGAAGTTATTATTAGGAAGACACTGGAGCTATGCACTTTTAAATCTAGAATGAAAACGATTTTTTTAGAACAGATTTGTTTTGTGTTTAGTTTGTTGTCCTTCCCCTGCACCTCTGATTAGCATGGTTGGCGACGTACGGTGCCAAAGAAGTTCAATATACATAACACGCGTGTTTTGTAATGGAGGAGTATTTGATAAGTCAAATGTGAAATTTAAATCTCGCACTGATACCGTTTGTTTTTAAAATATGGAGCTGAAGCGCATTAAGCAGGCTCCAAAATGTTTAACTTTAAATTGCATCTCCATACGATATGAAACAGAAGCATACGTTCAGTTTGCAGCGACCATGTTCCGCCGCTGCCGATTGCTGCCTCATGCATCGGACCATTCAGCAAACATAATTCCCTGCGATTGTGCAATGAATTTTTTTTTCAACCAACCCCATTCAATAAAACCCATGCTTTTTTTCCAATGACTCAGTACATTTGAATTTTAACACTAGTGTTTTCTTTTTAAAACCTAGTCATGGCAGCTCAATGGTCAGTGCATTTGGCTTTTGAGTTCAAGGCTCAGGCATAGATTCATATGAAACATCACAACCCCTGAGAATGCATATCAGGAAATCTATCAAGCAAGACCAACATGTGATGTATAATGTGCAGGACATAAAAAAAATCCCATGATATTGTTAGTAACAGCACACCATTTATGTGTCAGTGTCATGGCCGAATGGTAGAATTACTCGTAATTACTGATTCATCAAATTGCCCCTTCCTGAATGCTTGCTCAGACTCGAAACATCTGTGCAGAGTCGGGAGGTTGGGGGTGGGAGACTGCAAGTGTTGATACCCGTATTGAGATGTAATTGTTGACAGCTCAACAGGAGCCCCACCCGTGTGAGCATCGTCTGCGGTGTGACACTAACAGTCAACACCGTGTGCGGAAAAGTCACAGAGGCCACAGTGTGACAAAACCTCAGATGGTGTAGGCACATTAATGGGAGACAAATGATAACCGTCGCCTGTTTTAACGAGGTGCAGATAAACGCGTTCGCTCAGGCACTCGCTCTGTGTCATTCGGAGAGACTCCACGGATGACCCACGAGTGCAAACGCTTCCCCCAGGACTGAAGTCATGCTGTAAGTCGCCAGAGCGAATTCAGAGGTGGGGGTCGTTGGTGTTTTATCTTCAAGCATACCAACCGTAATAGGAAAGCACTAAAGGGTAGCCTTACACAGTTTCTCATATTAAACTAAACTCTTTTTTTATTTTACCAGATAAGGCCCACTAAGCTATATAGCTCTTTTTCTGAAGCAACCTGGCCACAAATAATAGCCCAATGAAGTGGCTTATAATGTGGCCATTTATAGCAGCCAAACACTGGAAACGCATGTTTCTAAATGTGGAGGGGGAAAACTGGAGGACCTGGAGAAAAAGCCACGCTTAAACGGGTTGTCCTTCCCCAGCGCCTCCGATGAGCACGGTTGGCGAAGGAAGTTCTACATACATACATGCAGCAGGCCATGTGAATAATGAACGGTTGACACACTCATGGACGTGTGCCTGCCATGCCGCTTCTTTGTAAGCCATGCAAGACAGGTCAATAGCGGCCATTCGGGCTGCACCCGTGCTCCTCATTATGTTACGTGATGTAATGCGCACACTGTGATGAATATTAACGCCATTACCACGAGGCAAATAAACATGTAAACGAAGGGGAAACTTCCCTGCGCAGGCCTCCCCCCCAGGCTGCCTCATTCAAATTGCATTCAAAATCCAAGTGCTGATTTGTGATGCCTCATCAACGAGCTGATGTGACGTCAAACTGTGGTGGGTGAAGCACGCTGCTGGTGTGTGGAGAGGTCACAAAACCGCAATTCAGTGGAAAACACTTTGGTTTCACATTAGCAGCCCACGAATATTGAAGGCAGCCAATTAGAGAAGAGACCATTGTGAACAACAATAACGGTTTCCTGTGGAATCTCGGCCCCCAAATAGGAACTTGGAATTTCCATAAGTTGAAGACCACCACTGCAGATGGTGAAGGGGATTTGACCAAGACCAGTTTCAGAAATCACTTAACAGTACCACTGACGTTATCCTTGACTGAGAATCGAACTCAGACGGCTGGGTTCATTGTACAGTACACAAGCCACAGCTCTTACCCTCCCCATCAGAGTAATGTGGAATTTCCACCCCTGTGTCAGAGCTGGAAAATGAGATGACTGACACCCTGAGTGGGAAAGCATTTTGTTCTTTTTTTATATACAGGATATATATGTATATTTATACTCCGTTGCTTTGTACTAATATTAGAATTTTAAAAGTCATAGAATTATGCATAATAATGCATTTAATATAGTTGCCCTGAAGCTAGTTTTAAATGTATAAATCGAAAAAGTTAGTTGAAACACGCGGTTTAGACAGGTTTCCATTGCACTGTAACCCGTGGTGTGTTTGTGGTGGTGTCAACCTCCTTTCATATCCTCTGTGTTGTGTACTTGAGTCATTTTGTTAATACAATACTTTTGGGAAAAAAAGTATTAATCGAAGGATTAGAAATCACAGCATCACTCTATTACAATAAACAAAATACAGTGGCAATTCATGTTTGGATTACATATTGAAGGAATGTGGCATGGACCTACGATTGAGTGATATGAGCTCTCTGATATTGCCTATGGCTAAATTATCACTCACACAAGCGTCACACGATACAAATGAGTGTTTCAGTGTTTATGGTCGCATGCCATTTCTTATCAGCGAATCGTTTGGCAACGTGCGTAGGCAGTAAGCATAGAGGTGTGGCGGTTAGGTCGGACGTGATTAACGAAGCATGAACTTTCCATTTGCGTGTGGAAGCCTACACATCATGCAAATGTCACCTTGCTACATGACTTTGAGTTATGGACGTTTCCACAATACATGAATGGTGAGATGTGACGCAATTGGAAATTCTCATGTACGTGTTGCAATAATGTAAACTATAAAGGGCATACGTACACAGTTGACGTGTTTATTGGTTAAATAACAACATGCTAATGTGTTATGGAATTGTGTTATGGAATTGTTTTCAAACACATCCTTGTAGTAGGAAACCTCAGTTAGATGATGAAAGTCTCTGATTATTCCATGTTTGCCATTTAAAGCAATAAAAAATCTCATCCTCAAAACTAGCAACAGTTTTTCTTTGGTTTTTTTCGGTAAAGTCACGTATAAAAATAAAATAATAAATTAAATAATAGCATACGACGTTTCGATTGCAACACAAGCAATCATCATCAGGTATAATGAAATAGCGACATAGAATATAACCAGAAAACTATAGACAGACATATAAGCAGACAGATATCACCAAGGTACATAGAGAGAGCAACCCAGGTACAGAGAGAGGTGATCGTCTCTGTGGGGTGGCCTTAAATAGACAGAGGGGGGCGGAGGCAGAGAGAGGGAGGGGGTAGGGAAAACATTTACATGTCAATGAGTACGAAGGGAGGGGAGTAAGGTAAGCAGGCTTAGAGGGAGACAGAACATACTAAATTAAATAACCTAGCAAAGTATCGAAATGTTATGTAAAACGACACAGAGAGTCGGTCAACACACAATTAACGCATTGCCTGATCGATTACTGCCTGTATATTTAGTGTAATTTTCTCTGTCTACACTCGTTTTGTATCGTTCTTAGGTTCTGCTCTGTCTGTGTGTCTCCGTTCCTCTTTTTTATGTTTTGTCTTTCTTTGGAATTTTCACACTTAAATTCTAACTTAGCAATCTTTGAAATACGTAATCGACCAGGCAATGCGTTAATTGTGTGTTGACCGACTCTCTGTGTCGTTTTACATAACATTTCGATACTTTGCTAGGTTATTTAATTTAGTGTGTTCTGTCTCCCTCTAAGCCTGCTTACCTTACTCCCCTCCCTTCGTACTCATTGACATGTAAATGTTTTCCCTACCCCCTCCCTCTCTCTGCCTCCGCCCCCCTCTGTCTATTTAAGGCCACCCCACAGAGACGATCACCTCTCTCTGTACCTGGGTTGCTCTCTCTATGTACCTTGGTGATATCTGTCTGCTTATATGTCTGTCTATAGTTTTCTGGTTATATTCTATGTCGCTATTTCATTATACCTGATGATGATTGCTTGTGTTGCAATCGAAACGTCGTATGCTATTATTTAATTTATTATTTTATTTTTATACGTGACTTTACCGAAAAAACCAAAGAATAATTCCTGCAGTCACGAAAGCTCCAAAATTAAGATACAACAGTTTAACATATGATAGTAATACTAAGAGGCTGCCGTGGTGTTAATGATCAGCACAGCGGACTTGCAATCCAGAAGCCGCTGGTTCAAGCTCCCCGCGGGGCAGTTGGAACAGTGGGCAGGTTTCTGTTACGGAGAGTTTGAATGCCTTAGCGATGCCAATTGCCTTACATCACATCTGAACTTAACCATTCCAATGCCCGGCTGCAGTCTAGCCAAGGGGATCCCAGTGTTAACTATCCCTGTGTGGGACGCAGATGCAAATTAGTCTGCCAGTAAGGGGCGATGTTGCTATGTGGTTATTCCTATTTTTAACGTGAATAACTAATGAAACATTTTTTTTTATTATATATAAACAGATTCAATATTATAAGATTATCCCAGGTATAGTCATTACATTAATTTAAGGACACGATACCTGTGTGGATGGAGACTGTGTATTTGCTGCAATATGCCCGTATATCCATGGCCAAATGGTTGGTGGTGCCTGTCTTCATCGTAACTTACTGGACATCTGTGAAAAAGAGCTTCATAGCTCTTCAGATTCCTCCAAAATAAATAAAGATTCTGATTCTGATTGATTCGTGAGCCTGAGCCAGCGTTAGAATGCCCTGTTCTAGTTAGCACGAAACACGTGTGTCTATTTCAACCACTTCTGATAAGTGCTACTTGTATTCTAATATGTGCGCGTGCTCTTCAGGATTGGAGACGTTGCCTTTTCATGAACATCAAATAATAGCACAAAATAATTGCACGCGTGAGTGAGCAGCTAGAGAGTATCATGCTCACGATTGATTGATTTACTGACGAATTCACAAGTTGCTCGATGATGACTTTTAATGAAGTGCAACAACTGAAAAACCTTGGCACAGAGGCCTCACCCACAGTGATTGACATTTGGAAAATTGACATTCAAAGTAAAATGTTGTGGCTGACCCTTTCTCTGCTTGGTTGTTGCTGCGTACAATGCTGGGCTGACATTTCCATAATGAAATGCTTGGCCAGATTTTAACACTGACTTGGCTTCACTGTACCATGACCTTTCAATATAACCCACGAATATTCTGTTTGCAGAGCATTTAAATTCAATTTCAGAATTTCAGTGACGTTTCATTATGCACGTTTGAAATAATCACGTACATATTGTGTGTGTATGTACGTATTAAAAATATATTGTATAATGTCAAACTAAGTTCTTGTATTTTTATACAAACGTGCATGTATTCAAATATTAATATTTTATGTAAACATCTCAAGGATTTGCCTGGGTTTAAACTGCATGTGTGCAATTGTCAGTTCATATGTATGCAATTTGAAGCTTTCCGTATGAAAACCTGCTTAAAGGCAACGCCACTTTTGATTACCGTACAGTTATTAACGTCTAGAACTGATTAAATATTGGATTATAGAACATGAAGTCACGTGTTTAGAATCTGCATGTATGCACTTCGTGGATGTGCGATGTTTGAAATCCACAATGCCAATTGACAGCACGGAACAATATTGACTCAATGACTTAAGGCTATGATTTGGTCACGGAGGTCACTACGGCCATGTAAATCGTGAATTAGAAAGTCTGAAGTGAAACATTGGCTGATGAAACACATGACATAGGGTGCTTCCAGGATTATACCTGTGGAAAAACCAGCCCTGCCAATCAGTCCGCAGAGATACACGGACAGACAGAGATAGCAACACCGAGATATGGGGATACATAAACACAATCCTTTTTTAAATTGTGAAACATGGGGTGGGGGTTTTAGGGGTAGGTGGTAGTGGGTGGGGGAGACCATGCCACCCGATTTAATAACCTTTCTTTGACTTGCCACACCACGGCCTTTTGACTAAAACTTACCATTCCAAAATCGTCACCTTACAAAATGAGGTTTCATCATTGGATCGCGTTCACTGAGCCGCCAGATGCTGCTCCACGTCACGCTTCTTTAAGAGTGGATTGTGTAGCATGTTCCATTTTTGAGCTGGGCTAGGTTGGGCGAGTGAAGTTAAAATTAATCATCTTTGCAATGGATTTTTGTTCAGCAACTGGCGACAGGCCTGAATTTTAACTACAGTTGAATGTTTTATCGCTGGTGATCAACGAAGAAGCCAGGATTTTAGCCGTGCTGGTTCTTCCCAATAGGTCTTCTGACAACTTACCCCTGAGCCATCTCTTGAGTGCTTCCTATTGAAGAGTGGCAAATTTACTGATGATCTAATTAGCCGGGCATGTATGATGGGAAATCAATTGTTGTTTAGGAGGGAAGATACGTTTTTCTGCCAGTGCAAGCATCTCACCATGCCTCTTTGTACACTTTTCTGTTTTTTTCATTTAATTCTCTCCATTAATGAACATGTTTGTGAGCAAGATGTCATAGGAGGTAGTCGACGTTCATTAAACAACTTTCTTTTTATGGATATTGGTGGATTATTTTTCATGATTAAGTTCAGATTTCCAAAAGAGCTCCATCCAACCTTTTCTCTCATCCTCATCTTTATATACATCTTGATCCCGATAAGCATTCAATAACTTCCCTATGTATAACTATTTTGCCGTGTTTTCTACTTGTCTCTCTCAGTTATTTCCAATCGATTAGTGTATTTGTCGCATTCGATTTTGTCTTTTGCTCATATATATGTACAAATATCTGGAATCCAACTTTGTATGCTTCGTTAAAAAGTTTTTACATTTCCTCCAATTCCTTGCCATTGGTGTTACAATGACCGTGTCATCAGCAAATTTGAGATGGGTAATGTTTTCTCCATTTTCATGTATGCCTTAGTATCGCCAATTCACTTGTACAAGACTCAGTAGAAATCAAAGCACGAAGCAAGGCATGAATATATATTTATTATTTTACATGTTTTCAAAATTGAAATGCCACATTAAAATTGCATTTAAGTCAGACTAGGTGATACGCTTCGGCCAATGTAAAGATCAGTGAAAATTGCATTGTAAAATACATTTTACCCGTGGCACATCATGGGAAGGGGAGTGGAGTCAGCTGTGCAAAAGCGCAGACAGGGCAAGAGGACCGGCAAAAGGGGAGGGATGCCGGGACAGAGAGGACACGGCTTAAGATGACCAGCAGGAAGAGAGAAGGAGCGCTGGGCATGATGTCGGAGGGGGAGAAGGAATGACTCTGCCAAGATGTTGGGGGATGAGAAGGTGTAAAAAAGAGAGAGACAGAGAGAGACTTTTGACTTTTAAACAACTTTCATTGCCGCCAGCAGCAACAGCACTGGAGGCGATTTCGATATGAAATACACAAAGTCACGAGCAAACAAATGAAATTAAATGCTAAAAATCCACGCGATGTGGCGCTAAAAGCACCGCGCAAAACACGAAAGAAAGAGAGAGCGAGAGAGAGCGACATGGAGTAGGAAGAGAGGGGGTAGAGAGAGAGGGGGGGGGGGCAGAGAGGGGGGTGGAGAGAGAGAGGGAAGGGGTAAGGAGAGCAGAGCGAGAAATATTTTGTTAAATCTTTCATTAAAAAAAGGGGGGGGGGGGTTTACATAAGCAAAGCATAAAAAACGAAATGATGAATGAAGCAAAGTGCCGACTACACCGAGCATCTTCTTGTTTCCTCTGGTCGAAAAAAAATAGAGGGAAGAGATGGAGAGATTAGGAGCGAGCATGAAGTGAGATAGAGGGAGGAGCGTGTATTTGCACATGGCGTGGGGATAGGGGAGAGATTTTGAGTCTGAGGGCCACGCATAAGTCATGTGATTTACTGGAGGCTTGGCCTGATTTAAATAAAACTTGAATGTGTAATTTCCAGCATTGGTTCTTGGCCAACAAAACAGGTGGCTACCGTGTGCTGTCCGTTTTGGGAAGGGGAAGACTTTGACTTTAACAAGAAATTTAAGTAGTCTTGGGCTGATTTGGCTGCTATCTTTATTCAGCATTGTATATCTGTCTCCCTTGCCTCTATGTACTAGGGTCAATATACATGCAAATAAATTCCACTTGCACATAAATAGTTTCCTGAAATGCCCAATGCTCACCTTTTCTCACTTGCTGTGTGTCGTGGTACAGCCTCCCTGCAAGTCAAGAGGCCATGCGGTCCTGAAGGAAATATCATTTGTGGGTGCAAGGATGGAATGTACTGCACATATTTTTCTGAAAACAGCTGCAAACAGTGTTCTTCTCATAAAAACTGCCCGAGAGGAGAGGGCGTTGTCAGTCGAGGTAAGTGTGTCAGGGAAACAATGGCATTGAATGCATGAAAGTTCAACATTCATTTTAACTGAATGCAAAAACAAAATGCACATTTGTGGAACATAGCCTCATGTTGCGAAAAATAAATACACATTGTAAATACAACCAAGGTCCTCTACTATTATTAAGAGGTCACTACCGTTGTAACTTTTATTTTAAAAAAATTACATTTCCCAAATCTCATTGATGGGGTCCTGCTGCAGCCAAAATAAAACTCGGTTGCCCTTGTCCATCATTTAGACTTTGGTGCTTCCACAGTCAGCTGTAACCTGGTATAATACAGTAGTCATCCAGTGCTGAGCATTGAATCCGAATATTTATTCATACTGGAGGAATCCGATGAGCTATAAAGCATGTTTTCATAGGTGCCCAGTCCAGTATAATAGCTTAAACCAGAAACCAAATGTAACCACTTAAAGAGTGGTAAGTATATATTTTTCATTTCATGGAGACTTCCACATGTATTTATTTTTAGGCCTCTCAGACCGTGCACATTATCCAACAGTTTAACGGGCACGAAGGTGCTGTCACCCAATGCCACCAGGTCAATATTTCATGTCCAGCCCTGATTTTCTGATTCATCTGTAATCGGGTATCCCCACAAGTTGAAAGTGGGTAGTAGTAGTAGTTATAATAAGTATAGCGAAAACAGTGTGGTTGCTTGGCGACAGGGTCACATGGGCTAATTTGACAGATTTACATTGGTTAACAGATTGTTCTGTTTTGTATCGGCAATTGCATCACGTTTGTATAACAATTAAATGGAGTACAGCATTTACTGTATTTATATATCCGTGACGTTGCACGTTGCATTTCCATCGTCATGGTTGAAATGTAATTGGTGAAGTGCACAAGAGTAAAGCATTGCATGCACAGAAGCATCCATTAAATCACCATCATAGCTTTGGACTTTGGTTTGTTGACAACTGGTATTTTTTTATGGACCAATTTTATTGGGATGCCAAAACCCATTATTCTCCTAATAGCTATTCATTTGCGTGAGGCTTCATGGAAAGAAACCAAAAGTAAGACAAGTAAATAAAATGCATCTGCTTCCATCATGTGACGTGAGCAGTGTTTTTAATTTAACCAGGACATATGCAATTTGGAATATACAATGCAGTGAAAATATCAAACTTGGTGCAATGTTCTGGGTTATCAGGGCTTTTGTAATGTTACATCTTGTGCATTTTAAAACACGCGTTTAGAGTATTTGGCTGCTATACATTTCCACATGATGAGCCACTTCATTGAGCTATCATTTGTGGAGAGGTTGCTTATGAAAAAGAGCTACATAGCTCAGTGGGGCTTACCTGATGAAAACAAAATAGTTACATGAAAAGGTAAAAATAAGTAAAGTAATAATGTATGGTCCTTTGCCAGCCCCCTCCTGGATGAAGGTCTGCCCACACCGTGACAGTCATTGGGGTTAGTGTGGGTTGGTGAAGGGATGTGGATCATTGATGCTCGTCACGCCTAGGACTCAATCTCGGGTCACTGGGCTCACAGCCCCTGCACCACCGCTCTGCAACAATTCTAATACATGCACATTGCAATACATCTCGTTAACCTGTAGCATGGGAATTAAATACAGGATATGTAATGCCCTGATACAAAGTGCCCGAGGTGATTGTAACAAGAATAGCAATTTCACGCATGAATTACAAGACACTAGTCAAGCATTGCCTATTGCATCCTTGTAAAGGCACCTGCAATTATAGTGATGTTAACTTAAGTGTGATGGTAAGATCTTCAATAGGGATCTTTTACACTTTCTCACAATCTCTCAGGGACCCCGACGAAGAACACAACTTGCAAGAAATGTCCGAAAGGCAGCTTCTCCAACAATAATTCAAAGACGGAGCCATGCAAACCACACTCCCGGTGGGTATAATGAACGCTTCGCTCACCCCAAGGCCGAGGCTACAAATGGCTGTGCCTCAGGCTCCCGTGGTACAAAGGCCTTGAAGAAACACAAACTGCATTGGCAAACGTGGAGTCCGTGTTTGTTAGAGAGCAGTAGCATCCTCTTGATTGCGGCTTGTACAGCACAGGCTGGTGTCAAGAATAATTAGTCTGTGCAACACTATTGATTACACAAAATGATGTAATCCCAAAAAGTATGACGTAGATATTTGGTGCGATGTGTTTTTTTGTTCAAGCTCTAAAAGCGGCATGCATATGAGCAAAGGTTAATTACCAAGATACCGGCTTTAGAAAGCTGGCTGTGGCCATCATAAATCAGCCATGGTCAATTAACTGCTGGATAAATGCCTCTCCAATACAGCACTATCTCTCACAACCCTGTGATATCATAAGGCTTTGATCACTTTATCATATGTTATATGATATGACTGCAGGGAATTTGGGCCATAAATCTGCTTAATTGTGTTGTAATAGTGAAGAGTTTTAAATCTATATTTTAAACCATTCACCATTATATGGTACCAAGGTGGTATTCAACTGCCAAATAATTGGCAATACACACCCTCAGTGTAAAGCACATTAACGTCACATTTTTTACAATCAAAACATTAAACGACTACCAGAACCCGCTTTATTTACATGCTGCAAGCTGCCACATTTTGCATGAGGTTAAACAGTTTCAGGTGTCTGGGAATGCCCCACTACTGTATTTTTATCCTGAGTGTATATTTTGCCAGTTGTGATGTTCATGTGCCAAGTGTGATTTGACAGTTTTCATGTAGCTGTGCAGCAATAACTTTGTAAATAAAAATTCAGCCACTTGGTTCAGGGTACATGTCCATCCTATCCACAGCACTCCGAGTGACCTCCAGGTATTTGGGATCATCACAGCTCGGTGTGATGTGAGCAGCAAAAGTCAAATATGTATTTATTCCTCTGACCTACATTTCCATGTAAATTAATCAACAAGGTACGCATTGATTTACTGGTAGGTGGTGATAAATACACGTGGGTGATCGCTCAAGACTGCAGGTTAATAATCTTTGGTGAGGCCCTCTGCAGGCTTTACACATGGGCTGCTACCACTTCAAGCTTAATTATGGTCTCTGAAGGTGTCCAATACAGAGTCAAAATGAAAGTGTTTTCACACTCAATTGGGTAATGGGTTGAGCTCGTGGCCATATTGGACGTTCCACTTTCTTTATGGCAGAAGCCATTCTCTCGATCTGACCACTCGTAACTTGCCATATATTGGTATATGTTTCATCGACCTGGGAGGGACAAGAGACTGTCAACGCCGAACTGGGATTTGAACTCATTATATTTTAGTTGTGGGCTGAGTACTGTGCCATATTAGTTCTGCACAAATATTTAACGTGTAACTAATGCAGTGGCAGAGGAAATGCTATGTGTGGTCCTTAATGAAATGCTGAGGTAGGGTATTTGAAATACTGAGCCTATGTGGCTCATTAGTTGGACCTATGAATGCCTTTATTGAAGGGATAATGCCATGTTTCAAACACAAATTCTGTCAGGATTATTTACACCTTATTCTTGCCATGAAAAAGGCCTCAGTGAATAGAAAACAGGGATTATCCATTAACACCCCGCAGGCCAATATAGTGACTACGCATAGCATGTAGTGCCCTACTGCTCTTTCCAAATGCCAAATATTGAGCAACAGCAGAGTGAGATACCCATGGGATCTTGCTTAAAATATTCGCCTTAAGGAGATGGTGGAAATGGTGTGGAGGCGGGCATTCTGGATGCACCATAATACTGTAGAGGGGATTGGAAATTGTGCTCTGCATCCTTATCTCACAGGCAAAGACATTGGATTGCGAAGGCATTAGCGCACTGATTCACTCAACCACCCTTCTGAATGGGATATATAATTGCACAAGAGGTATATTTCTGAGCAATCTATCACAATTCTGATGCTAATTATTATTTTGAGTCATATTTTATGTAATTGTACGTTGAACAAGGACCGATTTCTTGAAGAGAGGGTCCTTACCTTTAACGTCTGGCGGTTCACCAGCATTGATTCAACCAAGCCTGACCCTGCTGATGAGAACACTGTGTGTCAAAACCGGTCCAGAGTGGGCATGTCCTGAATGAATGTGCTTGATATGATACTTTTCCCAGAAGGATCTGGAGTCAAAGTGGTTGTGTAAATAAATTATTTTATATTTCAACGTGGGCAGACATATGAAAGGCAACATATGCATTCACACATTTTTTATTATTAAAATCGTGTGACTATAATAATTACTTTCATTTGTTTCTCATGTTTGTCAATAAAATGATATATAAATGTGATGCTATAATTTTTTTAATACAAATAACACATTTTGAACAATTTTAGGCACTGACCGATCAATTCATATATTTGTAAAGATGACAATTATGTTTTGTACCTAAAATATAACAAGCTACATGCTGCGTATGTTTTGTGGCAGATGTGAAGCAGGTGTGTGGCAAGCTGGGACAAGCAAGGCTGACGTAATTTGTGCAAGTTCAAACACGACAGAGGTCCCAAAAAGTAAGGCATCCAAGTATTTACCCGATAGTGACTGACAATATGTGACAATATACATTTGCTTAAAAATGTCACACGTTGATGTCTGTTCCCAATTAACGGTCGTATGGCTTCAAGTAGACTGCACCTCCAAGAAGTGTACTATAAATATCACTGTGTCTGACTCCCATTTACGTGAAGCTTAATTCGAGTTGAGGTTTTCGAACATCTCACGTTATGTGATGGCTAACCAATCGTGCCTTGTGGTAGGCATTGAAATACCTGTAGGAGGTAAGAGTCACGTTGCAAAGTGATCTCTTATAACGACAGCAAATGTAAATTCTATTTTGGAGAAACCTTTATTTATATTTCAAATCTAGAGATAAAGATGACACCTTCGTCTAGGCCATCGATGCCAACATATGACACCATTGCTTCCCTGCTTCTGCTGGATCTAGGTGTTGCTATCTCTTCCTGCTTCCTCTGCATCTCTTGCCTTCTCTCAGTCTCCACTCTCTGGTTAATGTGATCTATTTCTCTCTATTCAGCTTTTCTCATGGTGTGTGCTGCCCATTTCCGCTTTATTTATTGTGCTTTAACAACAACTGGGACGTGCTTAGCGAGTCATTTTATTCTAGATGTCTGCAATTATTTCACATTCCCTGATAGGAATATCAGTGTCATTTCAGATATGAGCCAAGACATTAGGCTGAGTTAGGCATTGCCTTGGTCAAAACAAATATACGGAGTAGTGTGGCCATATCATTGATGGATGTGGTGCTTGTTTCACCACCTTATCGTGTTGTTAAATGTCCATTTGCCATGCATGTTCATGCTTATCAGCGTTATATGGGTACTAAATGCCACCATTTGGCAAATGTTTAACTTTTTACGCATTACAATGCATGCATCATTACATATTGCAAGAAAACATACATGCAGATTCGAGATTTATTGTGAGCACACGGACAGTTGTCTAACCAGGTGACAGTGGCAAGCACTCAAACGACAAAATGGTCGTGGGTTGAAATCTCTACCGGAAGTCGACTCATACCATTATCCTCCAGGGCCAACAATATTACTTTAGCATTGGGAAGTGAAGTGCCCTAAAGCATCACTGTTATGGAGAGACTGTCCTGCACCATAGGAATGTGGAATTTCCATCACCACTAATTTATGGCTATCAATGGTATTGAGTACTTCCCGAAGCTCATTGCAATTTGACGATTTTTTTGTTATTCAGATGATGTAATTACCGTATTAATAATTCCGTATATTTTGCATGTGAATTTACAGATGTAACTCAAGACGCTGGTGACAATGCAGTGATTTGTCGGGAAGGGTCGTTTTGTGTGGAGGGCAGCGCTGTGCATGGCAGCTGTCTGCGCTGTCAGGAATACAGCGTCTGTGGCCCTGGCTCTGAAGTCTCCAGTCATGGTGAGATGCGGCTCCATGCACTAGAGCTATGCTCACAGTGGGCTACTTTTTTACAGATAACCAAAAAACTCAACACATTGTGGCCCTTAAAGAATAGAAATGTTGTGTCAACGATTCAGAGACAGAGTTTCTAGGAGGCACCTTCTTTATTAACAACTTCACGGTCTCGTCCACACACTCCCCACAGTAGCTCAGCCCAGCCTGTACACAACACCGGCTGTCTAACACTGACGGCGCTGGCTGAGATAGCCAACTACTCTCCTTCGTAGCGCAATATCTAGCGGAGACGTTTAGCGACGACGGCGACGAGACGACAGTAAGGACGAGGCGAGTCCATTACCAGAACCGACAGCCTCGAGCTCCCGCTCTCAGCTCCTTTTATGCTACCAGCGCAGCCTGGCTCCACCCTGACCGCGCCTCCCTTCTCGAACCCGCTAGCAGGTTCTAGAGACCTCCAGATGGGGTCCTTCGTGACCCTTACCCTAGTTCCTCCTCTCTGCCAACACACCGTGCTCACGCTCACCGGCGTGTGTGCTGTCTGTCCACCACAGTTGCCGCTGTTGTCCACCAGCCGACGCTATTACACTACACATATATAACAGGCAACGTTTTGGGCAATGGCCCTTTTGGCATAGCACATGGAGAATGTCAACTACAGGGACATTGCCTTTTCCATTTAAGGCAGTGTTATTAACGAATGTGTTGAGTTGTTTATTGTAATTGTGCAACACTGCAAATGCAGTATCACAAATATCGCCATTAAACATTTTTTAATTACTGATAACTTGCAGATTTTAGCAGTAGTAACGTAATCACAGGCATGTGGTTTCAAAATCAATATAATTTGCTGACTTAATAACTTGTATGATTACTTTCTTCAAATTAACAAATATGGGCTTACTTTGATGTAGCCTTGGTAATAATAGTACGACACTAAAGTTGTTGGCTTTGTGACATGATCGAGGTGGAAAGCATCTGTCATAAGAATCAACCCTGGTGTGTTAGAATGACACTTAATAGGTCGTAAGAATGGTCTATACTCATGGGTTGCTATTCTCAAATTAATCCAGTCAGCAAATACATGCATCTCTCTATTATTACGTTTTCATATTTGTAAAAAAAAGCAATGAAAGTACATGGTAATATTACAAACAAGTCCAATGGAGGAGACAAGGTGGCAGTGCAGATCCTGGGTTCGAATCTGGGCAGCCACCTGTGATTAAACTGGATTCTCAAGTGTAGTGAGTTGGTAGTCCCAGCTCAAAACCAATACTAATACCCGCCATTCATCACTAAGTGATGGTGACGTCACCACGGCGCCTGTGCCAGGCCAGGTGCACTTTGAAGCCACGTGAAGTGTCGAAGGCTCGCTGACAGGAGGTCTCGGGACAGACCCAGGAGCCATCGGTTTGGCTGACTGAGATGATTGGTAAATGCACCAGCTGTACCCCCTACTGTGCCCATTTGCAGTATTTTAGCCACCCGGCGTTCCGCTCGTTGATGTGAGCGTCGCTCCTCTGCCCTCAGTTGTTGTTGAAGGGCGACTGCCTCCAACTGCCCGGGAGCATCCTTCACGAGCCTCCTCCATAGTCCCAGCCCAGTCACCGTATTCACACGCAAACAAGTCGGGGTTTCACTTAGTTTGACTCGATTCTAGCTCTAACAATTAGACATATCAGTGTGTCTGCAGTATGATAAACATTTTTCCAGAATAAGGTGTGTGTGAAGGTGCTTCCTCTCGTGTGTGAATACAAAAAAAGTCACTTGAATGGAGGTTCAAAAGCACTTCTATAGTATCTGCTTCCACGGGCTCTTCTCTAACACAGGTTATCCAGTGCTTTGCAAAGTTACATTCAGCCACGTGGTCTCATGACTTGATAGCAATAGCACAATTGAAATACAAAAAAAAACAACCGCTGGCTAATCTTATTACACAAATGTATAATATGAAATAGCCAGTACTTGCCTTCAGTACTGTATTCTGATTAAAGTAGCACGTTACTATTAACACATGTATCTCCTACACTGGCCAAATTGTGTGTCAAAGTACTGATCCAATTCAGCTGAGGTCGTTTGTTTTAATTAAGAACATCAAACTCAATGCACACGCGAATCGGCCTTGTCATGGGCTGCTATCTAGGGCTCCTCTAAAATCTCATCATTGCGACTCATTGATCTGACAAAGTCAATATCGCTTTCCTTGAGCCAGCGAATTCACATTAGCTGCAATAATGGGTTTGATTCTCAAGCATGCAATGCAAGGGCTCTTATAGATGAGCCGAGACACGACGCTGCGCAGGTCGAGTGTACTAATCTCTGCAGGAGAGAAAAAAAATACGCGTGTGCCAGTCAAGAGTGAAACTGAACAGCTCCTGTTATCCCAACGGACTGGAGCATTTCTTTTCAGCAGCTTTCACTATGCATAGACACTGGACTTGGGCCACGCTGAGATGAAAGTGGCATTCATTTATTCCGTGAGAAGGCTTATCCGGAGCTGAGCGGTCACGGTGTGTCATGCATGTTGGAAAGGTTAAGGAGAAAGGTGACTGACTATAAGCGTGTGCTTACATTACAACACCTTTTCCAACTTGCATAAGAAGGTGTGCCAATATGAAGGCACACACAACTATGAGCTTTCCATGACACGTAGTGTGTGACATCTGTTGCAGACAAAGCTTATTCCAAAATTCGATCCCCTGGAATGCAATGCAATAGCATGGAATTTAATGCTTTATATGGTCAGGTACAAGCATTATGCTTGATACATTACATGATGAGTGTGAAATAAAAGCAAATCACTTATTTAAAAAAATGCTTTAAATGAGATGGGAACCAATTGAGATCGGGTCTTTTGTCTTCAGCAGAGCTTTGAGTCATTAATTATTCATCATTTGTGGCGGTTTGTTTGAAACATCAGTTGTGACATTGGCACAAAGCAGTCAGATGCTTGTGACTCATCACAGCGTTCATTGTCCTCTCTACAGATGGACAGTCATTAATTATTCATAATTTGTGTGTGTGTGGGGTGTATTTGAAATTGCAGTTCTGACATTGGCACAAAGCAGTCAGATGCTTGTGAATCATCACAGTGTTCATTGTCCTCTCTATAGCAAATAGTAGATTTCATTTTATTTGCTGATGCCCTTCAGTTACAAGACTGTTGTGATAACTAAACTGTCAAGCGGTACGTAATTGCCACTGGCTCAGTGGTGGTTAACTGCTGACCACTTTTCTTTTGACCAATGCAGTTATAAATAAATCGTTGTCTCAAGAATCCAGCCGTAACTGTAAATCACAAAACTGCACACTACCATCTGCACAATATCAAACAGATCGCCCCAAACATCTACATGAAGGAGAGGTAATTCCTTGAACACGCATTCGTAACCTCACGGCTAGATTACTGCAACTCCCCACTTTTCAGCATACCTCAAACACAGCTACAGTTTTCAACCTCCACAAATCATCCCACATCACACAAAACTCTCAAAAAAACTTCAACTGGCTCCCAATCAAATCGAGAATTCGCTTCAAAATAATCCCATGAACATGCAAAGTAATACACAACCAAGCTCCGCCTGACATCAGACACCTCACACAGGTTAAGCAAAACAACAAAACACGTCGCTCCTCATTCCCAACACCCTTCCAACCACCAAAACACAAACACACAAACCACGTGGTTGGACCGATTTTTCTCATTTGCAGCACCACACCTCTGGAGCAACCTCCTCGAAGCAATCTGCACGCTCCACTCCATCATCACTACATTCACGTCACAACTCAACAACAACACATCTCTTAGCACTTGCATACAACAACAGCCACAACCTGTGATTATTTTTGGAATTTAAACAACTATAGTATGTTTGTCATTGTATAGAATGTTCTATTTTTATATTTGAGTATTAATACAACGATAGCACTTTGTGCCAGAAAGGCGCCGGTGTGTAAGCAAAAAATAAAATTTACTTGACTTCAATCAATCAATTTTCAGATGTATGTGCCAATATCGCCCTCTAAAGAGTAGGCATCAGTGCACATTACAGCAGAACGGGAACGGTGCAGGGGGGCAGAAAGCAACAAGAATTGTAAAAGAAACGCGTCACGCCCTCAGCGGCTAACACCGCCTGAGCAAAGTAAATTACAACCGCGTGAAAATAAAGTGCAACCGTGCACAATGAACAGCATAAGAAAGATAAGTAGTAAATGAATAAAAGTAATGAAATGTAAAGAGACAGTTTTTATTTAATGGGAAGGCACGTCTGCATAGGTGTGGCGTGCGCAAGTCCACGAGTTGTACATAACTTCGTTATTCCTTTAATTCTGATGTTTCGTGTGTGTAGATATACTACCACCCAAGGATGTTACGAGATATTTTGTTTCAGGAGTGTACTGCGTTGAGATACTTGGCCAATTCATTTTTAGTGAGTGTTTTGCAAATATCTGAATAATTTTTGAGAGCTACTTATGTAAAGGGACAATGGTGTCCTTCTCCGCACTGCCGATTAGCACGGATGGCTACGTATGGTGCGAAAGAAGTTCAACATGCATACATACAGGTCTGCAGAGGCAGGTTATGAACCTACTTCCTGACATGGTCACTGCACAGTTGAGCTTATTGGGAATTTCAGAATGCTTGATGACATAATAATAATCATAATTAAAATTTTGATTTAAAGCTTTCGTGACTGCAGGGATTCATTTTCTTGGTTCTTTCGGTAAAGTCACGTAGAAGGGAAATAATAAAATAATAAAAATATAAAAATTCTCATGACGTTTCGACTGCAAGGTTAAATAAAAATACATAAAAGCTGCATATTTCTCAGTCCGAGAGAAAATGAAAGCAACGAGATTTATGCCATTTTATTTTTCTCGCTATTTTGGTCATAGTAACACAAGACTGTGAGCCAGAGATCTAGACACGTCGTGAGAATTTTTATTGTTTTATATTTTTATTATTTTATTATTTCCCTTCTACGTGACTTTACCGAAAGAATCAAGAATAATCATAACTTAGTTCATTTGGTATTCGTGCCTCTCTTATTCCAAGGCTATCACAAAGGTGCTGTGTTACAGAAAGAAATAGCCTGCCAGTAGCGGCTGATGTAGCTGTGTGGTGTTACCCAATTAAGTAAACCGCTTTATATACCGGCCCTGTGTCTAGATTTCTGGCTTGTGTTACTATGACCAAAATAGCGAGAAAAATCTAATGGCATAAATCTCGTTGCTTTCATTTTCTCTCGGACTGAGAAATATGCAGCTTTTATATGTTTTTATATAACCTAATAAATACAATCATATTAAACAGTTTTCACGAGAATGAGTTTGATCCACCATGGAATGTTACATAAATAATGAAAATGTAAAATACATATTTCTTGACTGACACGTTTATACGGAAGAAATTTACAACCATTGATGTCTTTCTACAGGAACAGAATCTTCAGATGCACAGTGCAGGCCCTGTCCATCTGGGACCTTTTCCAACACCACCTCCTCAGTGAAGACATGCATCCCTCACACAAAGTAAGCCTATCACCTTTCAAAGAACAAGTCATACCATAACATGGAGTATGGTTTTTTTTCTTATTTCATAGGCAGCAGGCTCCCAATCATGAGTTCAGCTCCCAGCCATATCAGCACCAGCATCTGTACCACCAGCATCACAAACACCAGTAACACCACCTGCATCAACAAAGACAAAGATCCCCCATGTAGCCGACACAGACTGTGGGGACGCCTGTCATTAGCGAGCACCTACGCAGATTGCCAACAATGACCATCAAATCAATTATTATAATGGGTTATTTTTAAAAAATTACAGTGAATAAGACACAAAGCAAATTTAACGATACATGACCTTATATTTCTGATGTATGGCTCGAGTGTTAAACGGGGAAATAAACTAAGAACTATATTCTTGGTTCTTTCGGTAAAGTCACGTAGAAGGGAAATAATAAAATAATAAAATAAAACATAATATTATACAATTCTCACGACTTAATTAAGACGCTGTCTTTCCGACAGCTCTGTTTCTTCACCTGAGGACGGCTACTTGCGTTGTGGCCGAAACGTCGTGATAATTTTATTATATTGTTTTATTTTTATTATTTCCCTTCTACGTGACTTTACCGAAAGAACCAAGAATATTAATCCCTGCAGTCACGAAAGCTTTAAATCGAAAATTAAGAACTACTTTAAAAAATAATCAGATGTAGAAAACATTTTGATTATATTATCTAATGATAACTGTTATACTTCTTAAGTGAGTATCAAATTCTGTAGAATGATTTATATTGTGCTAGGACAGTTTTATCTGGCCACCTTGCAGTAATGCTTTGATATAAAAGTATAACAATTTGAATTTATCATTCATAAAGTGTGCACAGTGGGTCTTCAACACAAGTGTACTTGCTAGGTCCAATGGGAAAACTAAACCCCACCCTCACCATGAGAATGTGGAATTTCCAAAACTGTGTCAGGGCTTCGCCTTCCCACGTGTATTTGAACGAGGGGAGACACACTCTGATTTGACTTACTTGCTGGAAATTATAGCGTACAAGGCAACAGGTTTGGAAAGTACCGTACTTTTTAAAGGTTTTTTTTTTATTGAGGCATTGTGCGGGCCCGTTACAGCACGTTGTGATGCGCGTGCACACCGTCAACATTAGCCAAACCGGTTATAAAAGTCGTGGGATAAAAAGATGAGGAATGGGCTCGCAACCCCAAACCATACGGGGTCCCACTGAAAGAGGAAAGGGTTCCTTTTATGTTTTAAGTAAGCCGGAAGGGTTGACAAGGAGAGAGACAGAGGGGTATAACCAAAACACACATGACATAAAGAAAATAAAGACATAAGATAAAATAAAATAAATAATGACGTTTCGGGCGCAACACAAGCGTCCATAATCAGGTGGGAAAGCACCTGATTTTATTTTATTTTTTATACCTACATGACTTTACCGAAAGAACCAAAGAGTATGGATTCGTGCAGTCACGAAAGCTTCAAATCAAGATTAAAAACATAAGAGGCGACCTAAACGAGCATATTTTCATTGTAAATCATTGTACTTAATGAGCTTGTCAGAAAAAAAAACAAGGAGTTCTCAAAGGAACTTTGAAAGTGCGTCTGCTCCCCGCTGGGAAAACGATGTGCATTACTCTCTGTGCTGATCATTGCATTCATGTTCCCCAGCTGCTCCAGCCTCGGAAGGGATCTTCTTATCCAAGGAACCGCAACCACTGATGCCACCTGTGCCCCTTTCTTTTCAACCACCCGGAGGACAGATTTAATTCCGACCATCAGTGATGGAGCATTGCCAGGGCAGCCTTCAAATATGCCAGGTACGAGTATGGTTTGCGATGCTGTTGCGGTGTAACGGTTAGCACACTGGACTAGGAATCTGGAAATTCGACCATTCAGTCAATGCATTCATGCAGTTGAAACAAAGGTGCACGTTTTTTTAAACCGCCCTGCATCTGTCCACCCAGCCGTATAATAAATGGTTAACGCCAGTTAGTCAATCTGCAGGTCAGAGCAGCATGTGGTGGTGTAAAGCGTGTCGTGTGTTTAACTTCTCTTCTGGGGTGGAAGAAAAATATCCTTGAGAGGGATTGTCTACAACTGTCTCTTGTGGAGGTCATTCTGTATGTATGTTGAACTTCTTTCGCACCGTATGTGGCCAAGTGTGCTAATCGGAGGTGCGGGGGAAGGACAACAAACTAAACACAAAAAGCGGTTCAAAATAATTCAGTTTAAAAAAAATGAGTTTTCGATTTTCTGGCAGCAGTGATGTGAGCAAGCAATTGCGGGGCTGCACCCTTATCTTTGTTTAACTTGTTATGGGCCCCGTGAGTTGCATTTTGTGCGCCTTCACACTTTGCACCACACCCGCTGACTGCCGCCTGTGCCTCTCTCTGCTCAGCCACGCCGGGTACAACTTTCGTTCCCATCACCGGCGGAGCGGTGCCAGCGCAACCTCCAGGTGTGGCAGGTAATGAGTGCGGGTGGCCCCCGTAGTTCACACTCTGTGCACCGCAGCCATCCCTATGTGCTCCGTTGTTGTTTTTGACGCGTATTCCGTTTTTGTGTGTCCATTTGTTGGGATTATTTTTAATAGCCTTCAATGTAGATTTCAAATATCTTGCAATATTCTCTGCAATAGTTTTACTCCTCCCAAACGAGAGACCAGTTGGACAATGAAGACGATTCACTTAATGTAATATGAAGACGATGTTTTTTGCAAATATATGCTTCACGTACTTTTAATATATATAATGTGCAGTATTTAAATACAATTTTGCCTCATGTACTCTGACACTACGCAGGGCCTCTCCCTTATGCTATGGCGCCACTCATTGGCGCCAATTTGCCAATGCCTGTAGTGTGGCAGGAGGAACAAGTGTCCTGAATGCTACGTGCACAGTCCATTGAAGTGAACAACTCATGGTTAAAAACATCTTATTTTACGCTTGGCTTCATCGCAGCTGTTTCTCATCAATTTTTTGCCACGAGCGGGTCTGCGTGCATCACGGTCCGGCAAAGTTGCACCACTTGGGCTCGCCGCTCTCCAGTTCAGTGCAGATTCAATGTGAAAGCAGTGCACGTGCTGTGAATTCGGGCTGATCGTTGGCTACGAAGAGGTCGTTGAACCTCCCGTGCAATCAAAATGTACACCACCAACTAACCGATTGGCTTTGGAATAGCAATACAATGGCACACAGTGGAAATAGCCAATGTTGTGCACTCAAGTGACAGTGATTCGACAATGAAGAAATATAAGTAAATGATATCGGTAACATTAATACAATTTCAATGAAATTGACGTGCACTGCATATGGCACAGCAATTATTGGACTTTGAAAGACTGCATATGGAGAAAGTTTTCTCTAATGCAGTAGTATCTACATTTTTATTGGGTTTTATTATACAAGAAATTTCAAGTCAAAGTATCTTTGCTGTTTACACTGTGTCCGTATGTATCTCATATTTAAATACAGTAGGACCAAGCAAACATTTATGAGAATGGTATACTGTATTGGGTCACAATTATCCGGCAGACGAATATGTCAAATTCCATCTGCATGTACAATTCATACAGTACGAAGGGTCAATTCACGTTAAGGGTACAACAATGAAGTGTCAAGTGTGAGTCTTTAACTTACGTAACTTGATTTCAGATGTGTTCAACCATATATAATATCTGACCAGGTGTGTCCATTGCAGATTAACAACTGAAAGGTTATGAGTTGTACCGAGTCAGGGGGGAAACTCAGCTGGGGTCAATACAATGAGTACTATTTTATGGTGCACTCCTGCAAGACTGTCCCTGCCAAGTGAGTGTGGAATTTCCAGCACAGGCTCAGGGATATAAAATACAACCATAAACTATGTTTAATTTTCAAATGGTAAGGCCCACTGAGCTATATAGTTCTTTTTCAGAAGTGACCTGGCCACAAATGATAGCTCAGCGAAGTGGTTTATCACGTGGTAATGTATTGCAGCCATATACTCTAAACGCGCGTTTCGAAATGAGGAGGTGAAAATTGGAGGACCTGGAGAAAAATCCACGTGACCATGCGGAGAACATGCAAACTCCAAATATCCAGACATCGAGGTAGGGATCGAACCCACGACCTCCTTACATAGCAGGCAAGGCAGGTAACATCTCGCCACCATGGCACCCAATGGAGATGAGCACTACCACGTGCTCATATGAGCAAGGAGCCATTGGATGTCGATTTCGGCCTTAATCTCGATTTAGTGAATTTGAGACAAAGTGCTGCACTTGTGCGAGGCAACTCTTTTATTATTTTATGACCAGGGCCATGTAGTAAAGCCAGCTAAGCCGAGCAGTCAGAGTGATGTGTGTGGGTGTATGCTTGATGCGGTGGCTCTGGGGTTAGTTGCTGCCACTGCTATGAATTAAATTATCTGTCTATTGCGTCTTGTCTGACGTGTACGCTAACGACCAGATTTCACTCGGGTGTTCGCACGTTGGAAACACCGTGTAATGTTGGCGTCTCAATGGGCTGCTATTCCATCCACTCTTGTTCTCTTCTCAGCCGAAACAATCGCAATTGGAGGAGGTGTTTTTGTGATCATTGTCGTCGGCATATTGATCTACAAGTTCTTCAAGAAACGAATGCATAATGAAAGTGAGCTACCCGTGTGCGCACACTTGAACTCATTTCGCAAAACCATGTCCCTACCCTTCTGTTTGAATTTGATGAAAAATCGTCTGACGAGAAAAGTACAACACTTGGATAACAAGTTATTGCCATAAGCGGCTGTATATATATATACACACTCGTGTACTATATATGACATTTGTACTTGAAAAGTTGCACGAAGAGGATGCTGCTGCCCAGGTGAATTGGTTCGCACCATGGAATTGCAACCTCGACGTTATTGGTTCGATCTACCACTGCAGCAGTTGAAACGATGGTGCGAGTATTTTTGTTTTAGAAATTCTATTGCAATCAGTGTGAACACCAAGGACAGAATGCATTTGCCTTGGCCTGGAGGTGCTGCCTCAGGTAATCAAAGCCTGTGGCGGCAGCCAGGCTTGTGCTAGTAAGATATTGAAAAGCTAGGCTAATACATGGCCACCCATGGATTATGTAACGTGTTCAAATATGCAGCACAGACGTCGAAGGGCAGCATTCAGGGCAAAACGTGTACACATATTTACAAATTCATTTTTAAATTTTTTAGATGTCACTGGATGTAGGCAACCTTTTAATCCTGGCTTTCTATTGGGTAAATCATTGAATGCAATGTAAGTTTATGCTGTCATTTTATTCTGATTGTATAATCTTTGCGAGAGTTACTGTGACTCCCATGCTGCAGACAGACGAACAGACAGACGGACAAACACCCAGAGATAATATATTCAGATGTTCAGCCTTAGTTTGGAAAGCTTTCAAAAGGGTGCATATTCTAACGCTAGGCAATTTGTGTTCAGATCGCAAAATTCATGCATGAACTAATAAAATGCTAACCATTTGTTAACATGTTTTTTTTTCACTTTTAGAAAATGGAATATACATCGCCATGGAAATGGTACGTAAAGTTGCAAAGAGTACAGAAAGACGTGTAACTGCAATTTTTTCGCGCGGTATTATAAGCATCAAACGTGTACATTTTATTGCACAACATCTGATTAACTGCTGGAAAGGAACATTTAACTTTTGTGACAGTAATATATTAAATATTATTATTGATAGTGTACATTGGTGCATGCATTTTATAGTATGTTTATTTCCCAATGCACAAAGAAATGCAAGCAACGCTTGTGTAATATTTAATGGCACTTCTGAAAAGTGCAAAAGTAATTCAGCAAATGTGAGTAAATGTGATGGCAATCACCTGCTAATTATTGCAATCGATGGAAATAAAAGACATTTTATGCCCTAACCACACAAATTTACAGTTGCATGTGTAAAATAAAATCCTGGCGATCGGTTGACTGATCTGTCATACCTCTGATATTAATGACATGAGTGTGACTTTGGGTGAAGCCATCAGTGCTTGTCCTGTAAAGAACATTCACTACTGGCTCCGGACTGAGTTATAACAGGCCACGTCCCCATTCCTCATTTTAGCAGGGAGACATTTTGATTTTGAAATTCAAAAAGTATTGTCGTTTTTTACATGTTTTAAGACAAAGGAGGCAGACATGGTATCGATGACAAAATGGTCATGTTTACAGTAGATGGAAAAGAAAGTCATGATGGCCATGATGACTTGTTGACAGCAGAATCTCACATACATTTATAGGATCGCTGACAGGCGTATCTTGTTATTTACTAATTTACTCCATGTCCAAACAGCAGCTTGATGGCTTCATTGTTTGAAATGCAAAACGGATAGGAAAGCCACCAATCATCTCATGCTGAGGCCCTGTTAAAGCCGAGCCTCAGACTGCCAATGCCGATTGGCCGGCTGTGGAGCTTGTGACTGATTAGTGGAAGCACAGGGGTGTTCAATGGTGATTGGCCGAGAGTATTTTGAGGGCAAAGACCGCCAAAACTCAAAGAGGGAGAGTGTGTTGGTTGAGGGCAGTTCGGGTAACTTTTAGCTTTTTATATTTAGATTGAATTTATTTCAGCAGGAAGGACCCAATGATTTGTGGTTAAATTGGGAACGGTAGGGGAGGTGTCGGGATAGAACCTGAAAGATGATAAGTGACGGGAATGATCGCCTGTCATGCCTTAGTCTAAGCCCCCCTACGACCACTTATTCTGTGACGGTGAGTCAAAACAGCCAATCATCGTGCCGGATGCCTCGTCACAGACATCTCAATCCTCTTTCAGCAGAGGCCCAGGATTCCCATGGAGCAGCAACAATTTGGTAACGTGGACGACGAGGGGTACGCAGCGGTGGCCCGATGGCCGGTGGAGGAGCCCCTGCACGTCGAGCGTAACGTGGCCCTCAGAAGCAACGACGGCCGCCCCCCTCTCCCCCCCCTGCCGTCGGTGGCGGCAGAGGAGCCCCGGGTCACGTCCACATACGATACGGATCGGAGAGACAGTGGCCTGGGCAGCGGCATCATAAACGGTGGAGGAGTGGACGTGGACACGCCTAGCAGCTGCTACAACAACCTGTCGGGTAGCAGCGGTCGGACGGCGTCGTCGTCATCTCCGCTCGACCAAAAGGAGAATAACTTTCTCCCAATGAAACAAAGCAGCATTGAGAACGATGTCTTTGCAGGTGAGCACATCGTGTGAGTGTGTGTGTTGAAATTGTTTTTCTAATCGGAGGTGCAGGGCAAAAACAACAAACTTAACACAAAAAGCAGTTCTAAAGAAATTAGTTTTCCATCTAGATGATTTAAAAGTACATCATAGCTCCAGTGGCTTTGTCATATTTCAAGGAAGAGCATTCTAGACGGCCGCAGAAGCGCACCTGAAAGCGCGCAATGCAGTAGCCATCTTTGTTTGATGGCTCGCCAAAACCATTGTGAGGGTGACCGGAGTTTGCGTGATGGCATAGTTGTTCATCCACTGCATTTTGTCTGCACTTTGTACTCAGCGACCAATATTGAATTCCCGGCTATTGCTGACATCAAAGACAATTATCTGGGATCAGGTCCTCTCTGGGTCTACTCAGCCTTAAATACGTACCTCGTGCAGTGTGTAAACATCAGCACTGGAGAGACAATTGCAGTGCTAGCCACAACACTCACTTAGTGCTGTGCCGGCCTGCAGGAGCTCAATGACGGCACTTGCTCCAAGAGCCTGTGTAGGGGTTTATGGGGCATCTAGATATTTGTGGAATCAAATAGACATGGAGATGAGCATTGTTAATTGCCCATCTCCATTGGTGACTCCAGGTCAGTAGAAGAAATCCCACAGTTGATATGAGGGGAACATACAGGGTGTTTAAAAAAAGTATATGGGACTCTTGTTTTTAATGGGAGACGAACGGATAATACACTGTAACAGGATGACACATGTATCTTAATAACTTAAAAAAGTCAAAGAGTCTCCACTTGTTCGCCATCATTGTCAACACATGCATGGAATCTTCTCCAGGTGGTCTCCACCTGGAGAAGATTGTTGCAAATTCTCGGAAGTGTGAACATTTTTTGAAGCACCCTGTATATACATATGTAGTGGCATCCACGGGGACACACACTAGACCTTGGAGGCATCACGTTTATTACAACACCCGGCAGGGTAACTATATAAACGTACGGGATAACGACATAGGTGGTAACAACTTCCACTAACGACTTAATCACAACGGGCAACTACATAACCGGGTCAGGTCAGTAACGTACTGCCTGACCCATGATGCTGAACGTGATGACTGAAGAGCGAAGATCGAGGAGATGTAGCGCGGCGGGTTGATTCCACAAGACAGCCCGGATCGGCGCTCGGGACTTCCCTTTTATGCCCCTGAGCGTGGCCTGGCTCCACCCTAGGCCACACCCCCTTCTAGATCCTACTAGAAGGATATGAGCCTTATGTCACGTGTCCCTCTCGCCACCCCTTTGTACCCCTTGCTACCCTTTCCTGGTCACGTGCCCTCTCGGGTTCACCCAGACTGCCATGTGCTGAAGTGCCCTCTCTCTGGCCGCCACCAGAAGCATGCCCCCTAGGGCCCGCTTCTATGCCATACACCCTCTGGTGCCAGAGAGAGACGCTAACTTGAGCAGTGTCACTCTTCTTCCAGTGGCTGGCGCTAGACGCCGTAGTAACTCAATATACATCACTACACATAGGATAACTGCCATTGATTTTCAAGAAACTGGTACTAATTTAATGACCCTGGAAGAATGATGGGCTGAGTTGACACCGAACTAAGATTTGTCATCGATATACAATAGTTTTTTTAACCTGATACAGACATCCTGTGTCACTTAAAAAAAATTGCGTTATTGACATTGACATGGAATGAATGCTTATTTAAGGTATCCAATGTCTCGTCTTCCATATATTTTATTTTACATTTACACTTGCATTTACATTATTTTGATAGTATAATTTCCTGGTTGTTGCCAAATCAATGTTTACAAGACTTGTTAAAACTGTATACATCAATGTACCTCTATTTTAGAATTACTGCTTTGCCTCCAATTACACAAACAAATTAATAAAAATGATGCATGTCATTGGACCAAGATTGGGAATAATTATGCTATGTTTATGCAAACATCATAATGTAACAGAAGACAAAGATCCTGTAAAATTACGTAAATTACTTTGGGACACGAGAATAGAAATTCGTAATTTCTATTTTGGTATGTTTAATTTGTATCTGTTACTTTAAATAATTATAAAAATTGCTCTTCATCAATTTGTCCCAATTTTAAATGTTCTTTTATTCGATAATGTTACATGCATACTTTTTAATGCAATAATTGACCGTGGCAACATGACATGGGTTTATGGATGGAAACACTGAGCCACGTGTGTGACCTTCATTGTTCACACTTTGTCATTGCGGTTTTTATTCAATCTGGTATCCATCGAACAGGCAGCGCTGTGTACAAGGTACCAATGGTAATTCAACCAAATTGGCCTCGACCATAGCCCGATGTTGGAAAAGTGTCTCCTTGCTCGTTTAAATAGAGAGACATTCGGACTTTTCTGTGATGAGCACAATTTTTTTTTAAGTCGCATCTATTACAGTACATTTTTTATATAGTATATGAAAGAAGGGTAGTGCTCACCTCCATTCAAAAATTTGAGCCAGTGATGGAAATTCCACATTAATATGCAGGGGACCAGTATTGTCCTAATAAGATACATTCTGTGAATACAGAATTTTATTTACTTTAGCATCAATGCACGTATTGAAATACCACTGCCCTTGGTGCATAAAATTCACTTTCAACGTATGATTTTCCAACACCAAGTCATGCCAAATTGCAATGCAGGTTTAAATAGTATCTTTTATATGCTATATCATATAATTAATTGATTTGCACTTCAAAACAGATCGGCAAACAGAATGGCAGACTGTAGTGGTGCATGATGATGGAGTTCGGCATATTCAGTAGAAACAATGCTGTCTCACCCTCTACTCTGTCTCTCATATCCCTCCCCTCAACCTGTTCAGCACCAAATGGGCCACTCATCACGGTGACCATCAACGGACCGGTCTTCGTGGAGCGCAACCTGGTCGAGAGCAGCCTGGCCCTGAGGCCCCACGAGAGCCCTGCAGAGGGGAACGAAGCCATCATGACCACACCACTGCCAGAGCAGAGTCCGCATGTCCCCGGGAAGTTGGTAACAGCCTCAGAGTACCGGCCACCACCACCACCATCGCCCACTTCCCCGGTGACTCAGAGCGGCCCTCTGCCACTGTGCGAGAATAATTTGGCTTCGACAGGTGGTGCCCAGGGGGGCGATCTCTTGAGAGCGGGAGCTGGGGTGGGGCGGAATCACCCCGTGGAGTCCGAGTCGCCCTGCGAACACGAGTGGACGACGTGCGTCGTGTAGCCATAGATGCGACGAAGCCAGGCGTTGTGGCGGGTACCTGCAATCCGGGAGGTGGATTCGTCGCATGGATCTCATCATGTGCTGTGAGACTCCCGACCAGCTCGAAAGAGAAGTGGCCAAGTGATGGCAGTACATAAAATGGGTTACCAGGTTTTGGATGTTAACCCACAAACATGTGGGTCTCTTTCATGTAATCTTGTTTCTACTGACATTCAAATTCTCAGGAAGAAAGAATTAGTCGAATGTTGTAATATGCGACTCCTGATGAAGAGACTGAAGACTCAGTGAGGATTTCTGGAAATGATATTCTACAATCATGATTATCATGAAATATAAATGGAAGAAACACTGTATCTGAACGATATGCTTAAGCATGAATTACATACAAAGGGTGGACCTATAGGTCACTGTAAAAGCTGAATCATGATATATTAAAATATAAGTTGCCCGCACTTAGGTATTAGCACTTGGATATAGCTGTTTTATCACCACTTGGATTGTGATTCAAAATGTCATATTTCAAATGTATAGATGTTTTCGGCACAATTTTGGGTTTTTATTTTAAAAATTAGAATAAATTTAAATGACTAAATTTGAATAACCGTCAATTTTACCATTACATTTTAATATTTATTTACATGTAAGTTTTAGGATTATACATTGAAAAAATACTTCTCAAAAGTTTAAATAATCTTTATTTAGGTTATTTTAAGTGAAATAATTTAGAATTTTTATCATTCCAGTTTAATTGATAAGAAATGTATTTTATACTCATAATTTTAAACCACTTTCTTTGAGTCAACTTAACGTTTAGTAATTTTGTTTGTATTATCTTGCTGGTATTAATTACACTTGGGCATTTTATCCGAGAAAGTTTAATTGAGTATCAACATTATTTTTCAGGAGTGTCTTGCATTGGGATATTAGATCAACACCTGTATTACAATTACAATATCTCAACACGCTTGTCAATAACTTCGTGTGGTCTTAATAGAAAACTATTTAAGCGGTGGCATTTTGCACAATGGCCCTTCTTTGTAGCACATACATTTAGAGGCCAGAGAGGTATAGTGCATGAGAATTGTAGACTGCACTTTATACCATGGGGCCAGATTAAAAATGTTTTTAATGTTTCCTGAAAATATTAGAAATGCTTCCTGAAGTTTTTTTTTCCGGAAAAAATATATTTTAATCAGCTCCTATGATGTAAACTGCCATCCCCAACTCTTATCATTCATGCCATCTCTATGGACTATGTGCCATTAAGTAGGGCCATTGCCCGAAACGTCACGTTATATAGTGTTCCTTTGAAGGCAGTGTTACTGACGAATGTGTTGAGTTTTTGAAATCTGTGTTTGCGCACAACTGTCAGCGCAACATCACCAAATTATTAAATGAGGTATGGCAGTAAACTGCAGTAGCTGGATTCAAAAACCCCACCTTGCTTACAGGAGGATAACATCTTCTTGGTTCTTTCGGTAAAGTCACGTAGAAGGGAAGTAATAAAATAATAGAAATAAAACATAATAAAATAATTCTCACGACGTTTCGGCTACAACGCAAGCAGCCGTCTTCAGGTGAAGAATGAGACACTGCCAAGCTGGGAGCTTATATATAAGCTGGGTTGGAGGTGGAAGAAAAGCGCCTTAACAAAAAGAATGTGCATATCAAGAGGAATTTAGCATATTCATGGGAAATGCGTAGGAGGTGGGCGGGGGGGTTTCAAAGTCATATTATGCCCATACATTATGCAGGATCAGCAGCACCAAGGGAGGGTGCAGGGAGTAGCATTAACAAAGGAAAGGAATGTTAATAGTATGTAGCTGCAGTTACTAAACAACCACGTAGAAAACTAAAGTATAAACTACATAAAAAACTAAAGTATAAACTGCATAGCATCATCAGTATACTTACTATACTCTACAATAAGCTGAGTTACTCACAGCAAGTAATAACAGCCTAAGGCCAGCTCTATAATACAGTATCGGTTACCAGCCCAGCAGCTTTGGGAATATATGATCTATCAACGATTGCCTTCAAAACACTGGCTCAGAGCCGTGGGATACCAAGGCCAGCTGTTGGACAGTACTGATCGCACCTGCAATGCCGTAGCCACGGAGGTGGGACAAGAGGGAAATTTGCTCGACATGTCAAAGATATCAAATCGGTACATGGTTTGGGCAACACATTCGACTAAATTTGAGTTGTAAAACAACGTATTGAACAATAATGAATTGTAATTTATTACAAACTAAATTGTGTCTGAGTCTTAACAAGTATAACCCGTAAAAACTAAGTTTTTCATTATAAATCCTTTATATGCGTGGCGGCTAGAGTCCTCTCGTCCTCTGGCTTGAGATGGCTGCCACCTATGGGTTAGATGATTGTCTGCCAGTATTAAGCAATTGGTAATTAAATATTTAATTTGTTTTCCCTAAACAGTGTAAAATTTTTTAAAAAAATTTCACGAACATTAATTGTCTCGCACAACGAGTCTGTGTGCAAAATGTCAGCTCGATTGGATCACGGGAAGTGGGTTAAAAAACGACCGAAAGATTTGCACGGTCGTAAGCAAGCAAGCACGCAAGCAAGCAAGCGAACTTAATATTAAGGATTTAAAAAGCACATTCTAACATGAGTCAGCGAATTGAAAGTTGCACTCTGCAGACTTTACATCCCACCCCCTCGGCTACAGTGTCTCGTTGTCAACAGAGCCAATGTTTTTTCACACACTAGGGTTGCCCTAGCGATCAATGGATGGTGAGGAGATCTCACTGCCAAATCTCTGGACACATCCACAGCAAAGATTCCATGAGACATGTGGCAAGGCCTCCATGTATGTCCCTGATCCCCTCTACCCTTTGTGAGGTAGGGTTAGGTAACCCTCCGCACTTGTGAACTATTCGTAAAAGACGTAGTGCAGAATATACTTTTGTACGTAAAGAATGCTTCTTATATTGCGAGTTTATACGATGGATTTTGATTCTTCACAAGTTGTAAGTTAGTCGACCATCAAGGTCGTGTGCAGTGGGGTAAAGTGTGGGTATTCCCACCTCTTAAAAAACGTCTGGCAGGGTGGAAGAGTAGACCAAAATATCCATGAGCGCAGCTCTCTAGAGCTCCTTTTAGTAGAGGCCCTTCTGTCCGCAGTGGTGTGAGCAAGCAATTTCAGGGCTGCACCTTTACCTGTTATGTTTTATTCAATTGGTTTTATGTAATTTATACAGCCACCGGAGGTGCTACATTCACCACAAATGGCAAAAAAAAAGAATCGTTGATTTGAATTGAGACCGAGAAGCATGAGAATGAATTGAATTGTGAATTGTGCAAAATATTTACACGACCGCTGATTGCAAGCATTTAAAAATCCAATTGACCAGCTGCCAGAATTTAATTGTGGTATAACTGCTATGTTTATATGCTATGGAAATGACTGTAAAGTTTTTTAAAAGTGTAGTTCGTATAAAAGATATATATTTTCGAGTGATGAATATATGCATTTTATCATTTAAGAAATATGCAAACAATTGTTTCAGATTTGTATACAAGAGTTTATATTGTTTTGCATTTATGGGAAATTTTATTTTTGTTAAATAGCGATTCTGTGACGTTACGAATGATTTATTTGATGTTAATAAAAAATAACGCAGCCTTGAAAAAAATATTCGTGGTGGAAATGTGTTTTGGTTACTGGTAATACTTTACAATAAACACGTTAACACGTAACATACACAATTGCAGTGGGTTTTTCATACATATCAATATCACATTCTTTGCTTGCTGCATATGATGTATGGTATCTTACAAATAAATTAAATTGTGTGCAGAAGCTCAAACTGTGTTTTATTTAACATTCCACTCCTCTGTGGACATCCTTTTGGGTGCACTTCATTCCTTGGCTGCAACTCAATGACTATTTTTGTTGTTGTAACTTGCAAATCTGCCCATTCTGAACATGTGAAAAAGAGCTTCATAGCTCATCGGATTCCTCCAGCATAAATATTCAGATTCTGTCTATCCTTGACCATCGGGCATCATCCCTTCTAGCAATCTTTGAGGTGTATCTTTAACCAGTCTATTAGAATGATTGGCTAAGTTCGGTGCAAAATAATTTCAACATTGGGCAGTCCTCGGGTTACGAACATAATTGGTAACCTGAGACTCGCTCGTAAGTCGGAACACAATAATGGACTGCAGCTCTACCTTGACTTCCGTCCACTAGACTTTCGTCGCTTCGCTCTTTCTGCCGTTTTCAACTATAACCACATTTCAAATTTCGTCCACGTGGCTTTCCTCTTTCGTCCGATTTCATCCCAAACCTTCCACGACGTTCGCGCCATGCGCCATCTTTTTCGTTCAGTCTTTGAATAGAAGTCGTTCAGTGAGCATTCACTACTATAATGAGCCAATAATGTCCGTGTGTCCCGCGCGTGACGTCATCCATGTCGACCAGCCCCCCTCATTAATAACCATCAACAGGTGACGTCCTCCACATGGACCCCCCCTCCTTAATAATCATGAGTGGGTGACGTCACTCCACATGGAGCACCCGCCCCCTCATTAATAATCATGAGCCCTTACTCCACGTAGAACAGCCCCCCTCATTAATAATAATTAGCGGGTGACGTCCTCCACATGAGGGGCGAGGCGCCTCCTCCCCCCTTCTCAGTGTCAACTTACAACCCTCACTGCAAAGGCGGAACCCTCACGTCACGCGGTCTCCGTAACGCTGTTGAGACATCAAAGTAAAAAGACGTCATGATGAACAAGGGATTATAACCTTAAAATGAAATTGGTCTGTGTCACCGCGCCCTTACAAATTGCCCATTAATGCAATGAATATCACGCCGCGGTCTGCTTTTCGCTTGCAAGTTTCTGATTTACTGCAAACACCCATACTGTAAACAATTCAATATGTTTTGTGATAACAGTATAGTACTACAGTGTTCATAGTCATTTTCGTGATTATAAAACACGTGTACAGTAGTCATACTATGCTTATTTTAGTGATTACTGTAACACACTTATTTTTGTGCTTTAATATATTCATAATGGGTCCTAAGTGTGGTGATAGTAAAGCTAATATAACCTATGAGGTTCTCAATTTGCAATAAAATCTTGACATAGTCACACTTACTGAGCAAGGCTAAATGAAGGCTCTGCTTTGACATTTGTCCATGCTCTGGTCCCTAACCAGACGAAAGTGCGAGGTGTGTTTAGTATGTAAATGCCCATACCGTCAGTGTTACAAAATGTTATAGTTCAACAAAAACGGAAGCATTGTTAAACTCATAACTAATAAAAAAAATATTGTACATTTGCATGTAACACTGTAAAAATACGATATAGTAAATAAAAAATAGAGTAACATTTATTTTAAAAAAACTGGTTTATTTTAACTTACCTTGAGCCCTGATGCGAGCCTGTAGTGAGAACGGAGGCAATGAGTCAGCACAATTGTACACACACACACACGTGCGCGCGCGCACACACGCGCGCGCACACACACACACATGCGCGCACACACACACACAAACACTCCCAGAGCCTACTGACTCATTTCATCTCGCAGAGGATGGCTCTTCTGAACAAAATATTTCCACGGTTCAGTTTGCAATTGCGAGCTCGCGTTTTAAGTCGATTTAAAAAAAAAGATTCATGGAAGCTGGTTTCGTAAGTATGGGTGTTCGTAAGTCGGGCGTTCGTAAGTCGATGACTGCATGTATGGGGCCGTCCATAAATGACGTCACACACCTAGGGGGGGGGGTCAGACATTTGTGACGATGTGTGACGAGGGGGGAGGGGGGTAGAAATGTGACGTCACATCAAAATGCGCAACTTTAAATAAATATAGACACATTCTAATTAATTAAATAGACTTTTTATAGAAATGTTTTCTCCTACAACATCAGAGTGCAGCGCCACATTAAATACGCACTACAATGACAATAGTTTAAAGCGATTTGAAGCATGTTTTTTTGGGGGGGGGGGCAGATCTTTGTGACGTCATATTTGAGGGGGGGGGGTCTGACTTTTTGTGACGCCGTGTGACGAAGGGGGGGGGGGTGAAAAATCGTCCAAAATCGCGTGACGTCATTTATGAGCGCCCCCTATATCCATACTGTGTATGTTCTTTAATCCATGTGTTCCTCTTTCTGTCTCTCAGTGTAATTTCAAGCATACATTGATACATGCTTTTGCAATTTTACTTTTTGTTCCTTGTCTTTGGGATACGTATATTGGTATCTTTTTGTTAGTTCTCACAGAGGAGTACCTATTTTATTGGCCCCAACGGTATAACGGGCTGAATCAAACCTTGACTGGGATATGAACTGACAATCGTCGAACTGTGGGGTTAGCATATGGACGTGTTGGCGGTACACAGGTGTAGCATAACACATCGGTCCTCAGAAAAGTCAAAAGTTTAAATCTGAAATGTTGTTTATCAGTCGGTAATTGACTCTGTCGTGAAGTTTGACTTCATTTCGGTCGAGGCCACGCGATTTTGTTGGGCCTGGAGCAAAAGCAGAAGCAGCAGCTGCCTTGCCGTTGACTTACGAGCCTGAGACTAGAGCATCATCATCTTCGTCGTCTTGACCCGCCGATGGATAGTACGGCAAGACTTACAGCCGCTTTCCCATTCGACCACGTGACACGAGTCATAACCTTTTGATGCCACCGTCCGCCAAGAAACGATTCCGGATATCAATCAAGGAACCGTCCGGCCAAGTTTAGGGCATCAGGCTGGGCTGCTATATGGGAACAGGCTGTATGAAGTGTCGTGGGCAAAAAAATAGTTTCTTGCTGTGGTTGTCCCACCTGATGACGGGCACTTGTGTTGCGCCCGAAACGTCGTAATTTAATTTATTTTATACCTACGTAACTTTACCGAAAGAACCAAAGAGTATGGATCCCTGCAGTCACGAAAACTTCAAATCTAGATTACTACAGTATAGTGAACAGCAAATCAGTGTGTACGTCTAATTATTTCACGGATCTGTCATTATAAACACTTTTGGATAATCTTTGTGGACATTAAAAGCAGCAAAGGTCCAATGAAACAAGAGGTGCATACGATTGTATTTTTACCAGCTCTGCTTTATTTGACATCCCTACAAATAGAAACAACTTTCTTGAACTTAACAATGCAATATGTTGGAGTAGTTAATGATTTTCCACAAGGCCTACGCACAACTGTAATGACATTTGCCATTTAGCTTTTACAATGAAAAGCCAAGCACATCACAGCGCACGTGCTCACACAACTAACAGTGACTCTTATGAGCTACCTTCAGTCACTTTTACAAACGTGGGCAGCCCTTTGCAAGTGTTAACGTCAGAACGTTGTGCAGCCATAACATCTTGGAGAAAGTCCTAATTATGTCCAGCCATTGCTTGCATCACTTGTGGAAATCTGCTGGGCAGATGTGGGTACACTTGAGGACATGTTTCATGTTCTTTGCTCAGTTTTTTTGAAACTTTTAATTTCCATCGTTAACAAAGCAAAACATGAAAACAAAAGTGATTCATTAAATTTTAAATAGAGGTATAATTAAATCTGTAGGGAGCCCGGATTCACAATTGCTTTAAGGTAACATTGCTTGAGCAGAAAATTGCATTTAAAAGAAAAAAATCAGTCTGTTGTATATTACAAGCTCCTTTAGGAGGTTTAGAATACCACAATTTGCATAAAATTTGAAACATTGGAGCTTTTGCAGATTGAACAAAATCACTTCATGCAGACACGAACAAGTTTAGATAAAATTTCTCATTAATTAAAAAGTCCGAGTAACACTTTCAACATTTACACAGTGAAAGGAATACAGTACTGGTGGATCCTATTTTTCCATGTATGTTCGTGCATTTTCCTTATCACGCACAAGAAATATGTGGACAAATGAAAACAGTGCAACATTGTCACTAACCTCTATGCCCACAGTACTGAATTCTGAGTGTGTCATCTGTGGAGACAGACGTCACCGCTGCTCAGGCGCCACCATTATCACCTTCGACCATTGCGGACCAACAATACCATCCAGATGGCCACCTGTAGCACCGAACCCTCTGGGCTATCATGAATATAAAGGACCACCAGTGGGGCCACCCAGGACCATCATCGGGACCACAAGAAACTCCACGAGGACCACTACTGGAGAGTAGTGCCAACACCAGCAGGATTACTGGGACTGTCACCACCAAAACCAGGGCCACTGGAAGGATCACCAGGGCCGCTGGACCATGAAGGCCATCAGAGGCGACCACGAGGGCCACCACTGGACAGGACCACTGGGCCCACCAGAATGACGGTGGCGAGATGTTAACTACCTCGCCTGGCATACAGGAAGTCGTGGGTTTGACCCTGACCCTGATGCCTGCATGTTTGCACGTTCTCCCCGTGGTTACATGGATTTGTTTTCCCTTCACGTTTAGAAACATGCGTTTAGAGTATTTGGTTGCTAAACATTTCCACATGATAAGCGTTAAACATTCTATGAATATGCATTACTACGCTTGTGAACTGAGGAAGGATTCATTGAGTCTCAAGACTATTTTCAGCAAAGTTTTGTCAAGTTCTTCGAGATGGGGCTGATGTTGATGTCTGTGTAATCTCAATTGAGTAATTTACAGGTACGTTTTCAGCATTCGGATGTTTGACCAATACCAGTGACATTGTATCATCTTGAACTTTGGGAAGAAACTGGAGAACCCAAAGGAGACCCATGGAGAAAAGGAGGGGGGCATCTAAACTTCACAAAGGAAGGCGTCCGAGTCAGGAATTGATCCCAGGGACTTCTTGTTGTGAACC